AGCTGGTGGCGACGTCGTAGTTGGTCCCGCCACGGCAATTGTGGGAAATCGCAAGCTATTTATGAATTAGACTTCGTCTATCAGTAAATGTTGATAATTATGCTCTCTGTTAATGTTACTGTGATAATAACTCTTGTTTCGAATATAACATTGAGAAAATCCTCAGCGTGGAAGCGCAGGAAACTTAATATCGTTTCGCAAATTCGCATTTCACACTTCTAAAGAATGCTACTGAAGTGCAAACGGCTTTAGGGTTTTTAACTATTCCAAACTGTGTCACATCAACGATTGTTTGGAGAGTGCAAAACTTTGAGAAAAATGTATATTTATATTAAAAATATACGAACAACTTGATATTATACTTGTCAACATACAGCTCTTAATATAAAATCTTTTTAAGTTTCAATAAAATGGTTTTAGAGAAAGAACAAGAAAAGGTAATACCCTCCTTGAAAATTACCTCTCGTACATCTCCAACCACGAGATGAAATTTCCAATATTAAAAATGCACGAAGAATAAAACCACCTTAAATTTTCTCCAAAATAAAATAAAACAAGATTCTGATTCAGACCTTGAACAAGTCATTGGTCCTGAGTAATCATGGAAAAAGTTAACATAAACTCTCGTTTGTACCCACCACATGTGGAAAATATACTTAAAAATCAGAGGATGTGATCATCAAAAAATTTGCATAATTGATAGCAATTGGGACTTTCAATGTACAGAATCCAACAAGAACAACAGCATTTATATATATATATATATATATATATATATATAGATTCAAGTCTTAAAATTATCCATCAAAGAACAACACACCGAAGAGATTCTTATGTATGATATATCTAATACAACGAACTCGTGCACCTACTCGTAATTAGACACCTTAAATTCGCTTAGATACCTTAATCAAATCAGGCCCCGTTACCCAGTTAGAAATAGTAGCTGTAATTGTACTGAGTAACCCTAATTTGCAGCTCATTTGCATGTTGTTTGCTGGCTCGATCGATGTATCGGTAAATTCATCTCACCGATTGCCGACTCCAAGTACTTGGGAAGCCCCATACAATCCACGAGGCTTGATTCCTTGGTGATGGGTTTTGAACTTTGTGCGGAGAAGGGTTAAAAACATCAAAGCCTTTTTTTTTTTTTTTTTTTTTTTTTAGGAGGGGGGGGGGGGGTAATCGTGGAGGCCCAGCTTGAAAGGGAAGAAAAAGGAGTGGCCCACGCAGCGGAGCTCTTTCTCCCTCTTCCTCCCCTTTCGCGCCCTCTGCAGCAGAATCCTGCTCCGCTCTCAAATCATGCACTGTCGAGCATTGACCGCTTGGCACCCAAACCCCCACAAAAGCAGATGCACCAGTGGCCCCGGATCCCAGCTGCCAGCGCACAAGACACCAGAGCTGGAGACTTGTCGTCTTCATTTGGTTCCCCGCCAATATAGGCCTCCTCGTTTTGAGTTTCGTCTCACGTCTCGGTGTGGCACCCAGCCCCACGCGTCGGGCTCAGCTGGTGCGATTTTTTTTTTTTTTTTTTTTTTTTTCTTTTTCTTTTCATCGCATGTTGCCCCGAGTGCCAATCTCCTTCGCCTCTCCAGGGTCTCCGATCGCCTACCCACCTCGCCCCTTGGTGCGGAATCGCCGCCTTCTCATCCCTCTCTTCGGTGCGCATGGAGCTTCGGCGCATCTGCTGTGGAGTTGTTCCCCTTTCTTTCTACTCCTGAAGCTTGCAGATCCTGTCAATTCTGTAACCATTCAGCTGAACATGAGGCGGATTTTAGAGAAAGAATCCTGGTTCCGATCATGGTGTGAGGTTGTCGGCACCACCTCCACATGCTGAGCACTTTCACGAGTATGCGGGAGATGGATACAGTGGTGACGTTTGAATCTCTGCTGCCTTTGTGTCATCCCCACGCACCAGTTAGTCTTTAATATTGTCGATGTCATAAATTTTGGGTTTTTATGGCACAAACTATGAACAGAAACCATGTGAAACTTATGCAAAATCAGTTTTTCTTTTTACTTGAAGATTAGATGAAGTGGGAGATGCTTGTTCTATTAAAAAAGTGTTGCCTTCATTTTTGCATTTACAAATCTCTCTCTCTCTCTCTCTCTCTCTATATATATATATATATATATATATTTAAAAAATTTAAACTTTGTTTTTGAAGTGCCTGTACAACTGTTGAATGCAACCACTTGCAAGGAATCTTCAATCTTCCCATGACTCTCTTTTGAAATGTCCATGTCCTCTTTCTTATCCCTCCAGCCTCAAGCTCACCCTGGCATGCGTTTGCCATTTTTTCCATCTATCACATTCAATACATAGATATATACATGTCAAGTCACTTTGCACAAGGTTCAATCTCCCTCATTAACCCTCCTGTCCTCTATTAACTCGTAATTTCTTTCTTCTTACATTCAGCCATCCCTCCCCCAAGCATTTCCTTTGTATGCATCAACAAAATGTCACCATCTTCTCATGACCGGCATGCAATTCACACAAAGCACAGCAGCCAAGCCAAGCCAAGCCTTCTTTTTCTTTCAGTTCCTTTATGTGATTTTTTCTTTTTCTCCATGGAGCCCTGATTCTGAGAGTTATGCTGTTGTTGGTGTTGGTGAGTTTGATGCTTTGGTTTGTTAGTTTGTCTTGTTTGTTTGTTTCCTGGCTTGCTTGCTTGCAGGGATTTGTCGCTAGCCGGCTGTCATGAGATTGCCAAACCACACCGTTTCTAGTTTCCGCTTTCCCATGTGAGCCTGTACGCTGCCCCCCCCCCCCCCCCCCCCCCAGCTCCATTCTTCCGTGTGGAGCCCGGCTCCTGCTTCGAGCGACACCAGCCGAATCGTAACTCATCCTTTACAATCACAGCTCTGCACGAACACATTAAACTTCCTCAAAAGCTACTTTATTATTCTCCCCTTGTGCTTGAAATTTCCCCACATCGGCACCCCTTGAGAAAGTTCTCGCGGATCTGCCAAAAGTGAAGGTGCTGGGACCAAATGAGCAGTGCTCATCATCAAAGAGCTGTGTTATTTTGTCCCCTAGCGACTGTGATGTCCTCTGGTTCCACCACTCGAAGTAAAAACAGACGATTTGCCACGGGGTAAAGGAGTGGGTGAGTTGGGAGAAGTGGAATATTAGATGCGCTGCGGTTAAATTTAACCAGAGTATCCATGATCGGGTTTGCTTTAATACAAGCGTAGCTGGCCCTGACTCAGATTTTCACCTCCACGGGGAGTCAAGCGCCCACGCAGAGCTTGGCTTGCCGAATCTGGGCCCTCTTCATTTCCAGTAATCTCGTCGCCAACTTCAGTCTTTCCTTGACAGGGGAGCTTGTAACAGCACCAGGTGGCCGGGCGGGTTTCGTTTACTCTTCGCAGAATGGGGTAATTCTATCCCAGCATGCCATTATCAGCCATGATTGTGGGACCTCCGGATTGCGGTCAACACTGTTCTTAAGAAGGGTAATGCTTTTAAAGTTTTTACTAAATTTCGAGAAGGAAGTAAGAATTATCGAACACCCTTCGCGATGGACACTGTGGGTTTTTTGCTTCTTCGTTTGGAAATGATCAATTTTGTAGGCTCTCATGTGGTATTGTAGAGCGTGCAATGTTGGTCCGTGGAGCTGTGGCAGCGCATGCGCAAACAGCCTCTAAGCACCCTAGAAAAGCCCTAATTCAGGAGAATGTGCGGGACGATTCTCCGGAGGTAGTTCAAAAACTGTGCCGGAACCATGAATCCGCACTGCCTTCCTAGAATCAACCCACTGCGAGGGCACACCAACTGCACCCACTGTAAGAAAATTCTGAAATGCTTACAAAGTTCTTTTTAGGAAAAACTCCATAAAATAACACTAGTGCCGAAACACAGTGTGGTCCTCTCGCAAGTCTCAAGAAGGGTTTCGTCTTGCGCCTCCGACCCAGCGCAGACATTGTAATCCAATCATGCGTGAGTGGAGCTTAACACCCATCCAATGCAAACAATCCCGATGTTTACTAAACTATACGCTAAACGAGGGATTAATAGCATTATAGACAGAGTGAGCGTATATCAATCACACTGCAAGGAAGTACTCATGCATGGCTCAAAATACACTGGCCATGAGTAGGGAGAGTGAGAATATTGCAATTATGTATGAGCGTGTGAGGAAGAGCAGAAGAGGAGCTGCTGTGCAGAGCACGACACGCGCGGAGGAGAGGGAGGACGAGGAGGAGGGGGAGGGGGGGAGGGAGGGTATAGGGCCCCCCAGAGTGAGTGGTGGGGAACAGTCGGAATGTGTGGGCGATGCTGATACGGGACTAATTCTAGACCCACTTCCGTCGAAATTCCTTCATCATTAAACGTCGTGGACTGCGGAGGAGGACCGGGACCCATCACCGTCCCCCTTCCTTATTCACAATGCCCATTACTGAGCAAAGGCCAGGAATCTGGGCAACGAATCTGGAACCCGATTTGCTAACCCCTCAACCCAGCGATCTTCTTCGCCCAGCCCGACCCCACCTGGCTTTTATTTTTAAATGCACCCAAAGAGTAAATTCTCCATGATTCGAAATCTATGTGTGCTATATTCCCCTCCCCCCTGGATCGCCTCGTCAGTGTGTCTACGACGTTTCTGGATTCCACCCCTCGGGTTCATAAATAGCACTCGAGCCTTGTCCCGCTTTGACCATCGTGAGGCGCAGAACAGCTCATATTCTAACCGTCGATCTCAAAGGAAATCGGAAGATGGAGAAGTAGTACTCGCGGCCATAGGGCCAGCGCGGGGCCTTGCGATAGCGACTGGGCCAGTTATGAGCGCTCTACGGTGCCACTGGCGAAAGATGCCGGAAGGCAGGCTTGGGTCGTCTCCCCCCCCCCCCCCTGCTTGCAGCTCTGCGTCTTTCTTTTTCCCTCTTTATTTTATTTTATTTTATTTTGATTTTGCTCCTTTTCTCGGTTCTAGCGTTCTCCTCTCCTTACGAATGCATGCATTCTATGTTGCTGTTTCGTGGGAGAGAGGATTACAACGCCCTGACCCTCGCCTAGAGTCTCTCCTGATCGTGATAGCTATATAGGCGGTCGCATTTCGTGGGTTCTTCGGATTTTTTTTTCTTTTTTTTTTCTTTGTTTTTTTTCGTTTGAGTCCTACGAGTGTTATATCAGCCGTCGAGGTGTGCTGTCTCTTGTCGTCGTCGAGTTAGAAGGCGAGTTGCCAACAGGCGAATACGTGTGGGGTGAGAAGATCCCAGGGTAGTGGAACGGAGCCGTTTGGAAAGGTATTTTAAAGGAGTAGTGTGTTCGCCATTGCCAGTGTTGCAGATCCTGGGCTTGTTTGGTTTTCGGGGATTGGTCTTTACATCGCGTTGTCTTTTCGTGAGGCTCAGCGAGTAGCGGAGTTGGTCTTCGCATTTGTTTTTGCGGCTCGCTGTGAGAAGAGCTGCTGCGTTAGGCTTACTTCTGTTATAAGACTCTGCCGGACTTTCTGCCTTGATTGTGTCGGATACCCATTACATTTCTTGTAGTGCTTAGATTTTGCGATTAGTATTGGTTGGAAGTGGTCGCTCCGGTTGTCGTTGGTTACTATTGGTAATCTTGTGGAAGAAGAATTTGCGCCATTATTCCTGCGCATCCATTGCATCGCAAATTGATGGCTGCTGAGATTTTCATATCGTCCGGCTGAGGTTAGAGCGTTGGCGTTCCTTTTCCCATTAGCTGCAAAGCTTCCTGGAGAACCTGCCTGAGCAGGCACAATTCTCTGCCCGTACCTTATGAAGTGGGGAGTATAGTGGGTTGTCGACGTTCCTACATATTTTACGCCTTTCCTTGATCGACTCGTTTTGCACTTGTGCAAAGGCCTGGGGCTGGGTTTCTGGTTACGTCTAAGCGACAATCTTGCGTCCTCGCTGACTCCAGTGTCCAGTGCTTACAATCATTTCGAGTACTTATTCCAATTGAATTGGAGAAGCCTTGTTAAAGGCTGGTGTAATAGTGCTCTCGTTTTCTCTCGTTGTCCATCTCAGCGGTTCTGTAGAACGTGCTCGTGACTAAATAATCCAGTGAAGACTACATTTCCCGTCCTGGAGTTTAGTTCAGATGCCCGTGTTTTCTTCTGCTGCGAGATATTTCTGAAGTTTCTGTCTCAGAGGCCTCTTTGTAGACTCATTCTTAGCTCCTTTGGCTGGAAGTCCTGAATTCTGATTCAACTGCTTCCCCTGTGCGCTTAACGTTGGGAAGTTCGCCAACGAATTGTGGCCGCTTTAATCACTAGTCATCGCTCTTTCACTGGAGCGATAAGATATAACAACATTATTTCTACTTCTTCCGCGATCTACCGTCCTACCTCAATTCTCTCCCCACGAGTATTTAAGAATTCTCCGACGGCGAGACGTGTGGTGAAGAGTATGGCTATCAAAGAATCCTCCCCGAACGGGAAACCTCATGTGCTTATGATGCAAGTGGATATGCCCTACCTACGGGACTCCTTGGAATCGAAGTTCAACTTGTTGGTTTTATCGGAACACACCAACAGGGACGAATACTTGGCGATGGCAGGAGGTTCTGTCCGTGCTGTTGTCACATCTACTAACTCAGTTGTCGGTGCAAAACTCCTCGAAAAGTTACCTAATGTTGAGATTGTTGCCAGTTTCAGCGTCGGATTGGATAAGGTGAGCACTACGATTCACTATTTTGAAGTTCCTAGTGTACGAGATGTTGCGAAGTGGATAAAACAGACACTGAATACCTTTTATGTCGACTCGATCCTGATGTGTTCCGATACACAGTGCACGCGTTTAGGGAGTTTGTTTTCTTTCCTTTATTTTTTGCCTTGATCTGTTACAAGTTGTTTTAGTGATGATCTTTTGCCTAGCCAAATTCTCTACCTCGTTTCACTGGTCTGGCGGAACTCAATTCGAAGTTCAACAGGCCTGTTTTAATTTCGTACGTGCTGCAAAACTTTGTATGCTGATGGCGTGAACCAAGTCTCTGTGGTCTATCATGTTCAGTTCTGCCACTAGCGAGTGCAATAGCTAGTGGATAAAACATCGATGCCACAGATTCACTGAACCCGTATATTGCTTCTAAACTAATAATCAAATGTCCATAATAGTGTACCAGTATATTTAAGACTTTGTGTTACATTGATACGCTTGGGCTGACTGTCCTATTTAGCAATTCGAGGTGGATATTTTAGGAAGCTTTACTACCAAGTTTGTAAGCCACTTATTTCCATGAAACACAGTTGTGCTTGATGCGCATTTGCCGTCGTCAAGTGTGGGCTTCATACGTCTGAGTAAGAGTATGCTGTTTGTGATTGTGTTTCATAAAGGGCTAGCTCTGGATGGCTGTACACTGTGAGTGATATGTTTCTATGGTCCTTTCCAATACAGTACTCTTTTGCCTAGGATATAGTCGACGACTTAAAATCTGAGGTGTAGGACCGACTTCTGTAACACGAAGTATTAGATCCGCACATGCACGGTGCGCTCAGATTTGACGTAGACAAGCATTTCGGTTCAGGTTGTCTTGTTCATTCTTAAGCAGTTGATTAGTCTCCATTGTGGTGAGTATCCAAGATTCTTTTAGGAAGAAGTCTTATGTTACTTCCCTTGAAATTGCAGGTTGACTTAGATTATTGCAAACAAAAAGGGATTGTCGTGACGAACACTCCAGAAGTTCTAACAGAAGACTGTGCAGACCTTGCTATTGCACTATTGTTGGCTACAATGCGACAGATTTGTTCCGCGGATAGATATGTGCGCAAAGGTTGCTGGCCGAAACAGGGTACCTACCCACTTTCTTACAAGGTACTAGTAATTACTAGTTGTGGGGTTTCACTTTGCATGCATATTTTTTCCCCAACTTCGGTATCTTCCTAGAATTTGTGATGGACAGGATGTTGTGATAGGTGTTTACAGTAGTACCGAATGTCAATGTTTTTATTTTCAAACAGTGCAGTTTGATTTCTGATTATTGTGACCTGTAAATACTATTCTTGGTATTGCACTACAGTTTGTTTTACAGTAATTGCGCATGTTTCTGCAGATGAGTGGGAAAGACCTCGGAATTGTTGGATTGGGCCGGATTGGAAAAGCTGTGGCAAAAAGGGCAGAGGCATTTGGTTGTAAAATCAAATATTATGCGAGATCAGATAAGAAAGATGTTCCATATGAATACTTCAGTAGTGTTTTGGAGCTCGCTAAAAACTCAACTATGCTCGTTGTGTGTTGTGCTTTCACAAAGGAGACTGCCAAGATCATTGACAGAAGGGTGTTAGATGCTCTGGGTCCTGAGGTTAGTGAACTTATTTCTGCCTGTCCTTATCCTGTCTTAAATGTCAGATATCTTGCTGTTTACGGTCTGTTATTCATTTGAATTCGGTATCCCATGTTGACCTCAACCTAATCATCTTGAGTATATATTCTAAATCATACTTCCGATCCATCTTATAGTTGGTAGCTACTGCAGAGCTGATTTATGCTGTTGTCTTCTAAGAGTTAGTGACTTGGTTGATTGTATGCCAAGGATCTGCCTTCACATCTGGATACTTAGTTACTAAAGTTATTCAGAATTTACTCCTAAGTCCATGCGCCTACGATGGACACACGAGTTTCTTAAAACGGGGTCCTCTTTAGGAGGAGTTGTCGGATGTAATGTTGATATTCTTGCTGATGTGCTGTGCTTGTGTAGGGTTTTCTTGTAAATATATCTCGAGGAGGTGTGGTTGATGAGCCGGAGCTCGTGAAGGCTCTACTAGAATGTAGGTTGGGTGGAGCAGGTCTGGATGTATACGAGAACGAGCCCATTGTGCCTCAGGAGCTTTGGAATATGGATAATGTTGTGTTGCTCCCTCATGTGGCTAGCGGAACCTGGGAAACACGGCGGGCTATGGCCGACCTTATCTCTGGAAATCTGGAGGCACACTTTTCTGGCAAGCCTGTACTCACTCCGGTTACATAATTTAGGTGCAATGTGCTCTCAACGAAGGAAATTTCTGCCTTCCAGAATGTTCTTGTGGAAATGGGATATTGTTACATGATGAAGGTTTTTTGTCCTTTTTTTTGTTTTGGTCGCTTTGGTTTGGGAGCTCGTCTTCCGACTCCCGGTAGTGACATAGACCTGGGCGTTGATGCAAATGCGTTTGAGCATCGCGGCGAGTTCAGCTGTATCCATGCACGATGATAGCTAGGTGTACGTAATGTTTTCGGGCATTACTTGTGGGTTTTGTAGATTTGCGGTAGTTCAGATGAAGGGTTTTTAAACTACTTCTAATGTGATATTCTTTTGGTCCGAAGGAGGAAGTGCTTCTAGTGGTTAGAGTCTGGAACCATGGCATTTCCTTGTGCCTATTTTCAGCTCACGTTGTCGAGTGATATAGGTTGCTGAAAGCAGATTTGCAGCTTGGCAGCGTTACTCGTTTCTGTTAATCCCCATCCTTTATTCTTCCCTCCGTTTTAGGAAATTAGTGTCGTTTGACTGGACGAAAGATGGGACTCTTGTCCTTTCTGGCACCTCATTGTTTTAAGCGGGGGGTTCATCCCTGTGCCGAGTACGCTGGTTTACATTTGTCGACGGAGTTGAGCACCAGTATGAAGATACACTTTTTGTACACAAGTAGGTGAGGTAGATTAGTCTCGTTAGGCAGTGAAGACTATGTATATAATAGTCTACGTGCTTCAGAGCATAAATGCCACGACAATGGGGAGAGACAGTATTATCGGCATTGTTACCATGCTTTAGGGTCATGCCAGTTAAGCTGAACTTCCAATTCAACAGTTGTACTTACGTGGTGCAATATATCTTGTTGTATTGGACAGTGTGGTGCATATTGATTGCTACTCTAATGCAGTGCTGATTATGCGATGATGCAAATTTTACTGATTTACAAATGTGTGCCCAAACTTATTCTTGAGGTGTTTGTTTGAGTTTGATTTAATACTGTTTACCTTCATCTTTTTAAGTACCTGGTGTTTGTATTATTCAATCGTTAACTTTATCAGTTCATTCTTCGTACGTTATGCTTCTATCAACACAACATGCAGGTGAGCGCTACAATAATGTTTCGTTACAATGAAAAGTTTTGCAAACGGACTTGCTGACAGTATTGTTGGAGTCGTGTCTCGACATCTTCCATCCGATCGCCTCTGCACCCTCCACAGGTGACTTGAAGGTGGTGTCGTTTCAGAGTACCAAAATTCTGCTTTAGCTAGCGTGTCTTCACTTGGGTACTTTGTTCGTGGATGTTTCCTTGCGGATGTATGAAGTGGCACCTCACGCGATACCTGTGTTCCACTTTACAGGCATACTTAACTCTCATGAAAGTTACACTTCGAACAGATACAGCTAATGAATAGGCGTTGATGGACTGGGGTGCTTTTTCACCCAGTCCCATTGAATACAAAGAATTATCGTGAGTAGATCCGCATTGGGCTTCTGCTAGATTGCAAAACCAGAAGTATTGACATGGCATTTGTATGTGTGAGTGAATTTAGTAATATGCGCTTCTCCACAACTTGTCATTTGGTCATATACTTGTACTGATTTTGTTTTTCTTATCCCGTGTTGCATAGAGTGCAGTGCGAACTCATGCTTAGTGTTTTCAATAAACTGTGATGCTCAAGCCTGGTAGAAGCCTTCATTTCCCATTTGATTTTGTGAATCTGGGCAAGCATTCATGTTGATGCTTCAAAAAGTTTTGAAGATAATTCAAGGGACTGGCGAATACATTAATTTCTGCCCAAGCTGGTAAGGTACTGCGATACATGGTTACAGATTATTTGAAATTCCCAATGAATAATTAAAAATATGATTGATTTATTTTGTACAAACATGCTATCTGCATGTCATACAATCTAACTGGTGAGAGCTCAAGAACCTGTTTCCTCACATTATGGACTTCCACCAAACTCGTAATCTCTGCCCAGAGGAGTGGATGGGTGCAATTCAAGTTGTGCACTTAGACGCTGCTGCACATGTGAACAGATATCTGTTGCCCAGTTCCAGAACGTGAGTTCCTATTTGTTTTTATGTTTGTTTGTTTTTGAAGAATTCTAGCAATTACATTGAGCTTCAAAAGATCTCAAATAGAAGAAAAAGAGGGAGAGAAGGAAGAATCATAACATTCAGTATCAACGATAAGTGACATAATTTAGGAGAATTGAAGGGCACCAACCATGATTTTTTTATTGGTGGTAGAGTTACCATCAAAAGACTCTAGGAATGGGGTTTCGAGCAAAGGTTACAAGAGCAAGTCGTATAAGACATCAGGTGGTTCTCGAAAAGAGGAGCACAATCTCTGTGATCAGTACAATTCACATTACAGAGCAGTCTATTAGAAGTATTTGAAAGAAGTATGACCTACAACACTCAAGGATGCACAAACCCTAAACCAGGCATGAGCTGCTGGATGTTTTACCCAGCTCAGAGAACCAACTTAGCTGGCTCCTTCAAGGTCATTATCAGGTCAAGCACTGCCCCAATTTCGAGCCCGTAGTGGTAACAATTCATATATAATGTCATATTCTGGGCTTGATTACTGCGCTTCAGATACAAATTCGGATTCCTAGTTCAATTCTAACGAGACGTGTGCAGGATTAGTGTACAAACCTCAATAACAGCTGCCACATGCAATAGGGTAGCTTCCGACCATGGACGACCGATGAGTTGTAATCCAATCGGTAAACCATCTTCATCATGCCCTATCTGGAAACTCAAATTCCAACGATGTTTGTAAAACAGTCTCTTCGAACTCTTAAACCTAACAAACCACAATCCCACAAGAGAGACTAACACACAGCACTAAAACCACCTGCTTCTTATCTGATCTGATGCAAAGTGAAAACTAGTGAAAGAATTTGCCTAATCTCAGTGAACCTACCGGCACAGAAATAGCTGGTAGTCCGAGAAAATTCCCAGCGATTAGAAAACGCATCAGCTTGGCTGCAGACCACAAGATGATATAAACACATTTGAAACACAGTGGAGAGTATTAAAATTGGGTAAAATGATAGTCAAAATCAATTGTAACCATCTTTTCAAGTAGTCTGTTATTAGAAGAAAAAGAATACTCAATGGTTTCAGCCAAAGTTCCATGTCTCTTTCAGCATATGGTGCCCATAGTGATGTTGAATGATGCTTTACCTCCAAGACCATAGTCAAGCTCCCCGCAATTTTCAGCATTACGCCGAAGCAGTGGTGCTGTTGCCCTACAATACATATTAACCGCAAATGTATCATCGCCTTTCTCTTTGGGAATTGGGCACACATCGAGACAATAGTACATGGATTTATTGATAGAAGAGTGCCAAGACCTGCGACTTCTGAGGCATGTACGACTTAAAATGACGAAGTGTGCTCACCCTGTGGTCGGCGTGATGATGATATCAGCCCTCTTGAAAATCTCGTTATGATAGTGCATCTGCCGAAACCTGAAGAAAAATGATGCGACATCATGATACTTTACGCTTCTGAACTTTTGTTCCAGTTACAGTTATGATTGCTGATTCTCATTGGAAATCCTTTCGTAGGTAGCACATTGGTTGTCATGATGGAGAAAAAACAGATTGATCCTAACGCTGAATATACCTCATCTGTTGTGCAGCAATGAATTCCCGGCTATTAAAACTCTCATATATCGAGAATCCGACTCGCACGTCTCCACCAGATGCCTCAAGCCCTCTATCATGCACAAAAGCAAATGTTACAATCAGATGAGTTGAGAAAGAAAAGGGAGGGCAAATTTAGGATCTACAAAAGTAAATCATTGCAGACGGCGATAAGTTGGAGGAGGCTCACGATTGCTGGTAGTCCATTCCAAGAGAAGTAAAACATTCGCTGCCTATGGTCACAAAATGTGCCAACCGCATCTCTTCCAGCTCGGGAATGGTCACTTCCACAACCTTTCGCGGAACACAATTCCCCGAATAATGGAAAATCAGTTGACAACCCAAAAGAGGTTGAATTTTACGTATTTATTGGCGTGGAACCGTACTTCAAAATAAATAAAAAGTGCGGAATATGATGCGATGCTTTGAAACGCAGAAGAGGCACCTGGGTATCATAGAGTTGCTGTACTAATCGCACTGCTCTACAACACGCTTTGCGTATTGGCTCATCAGAATCATTGAACCACTGCAATATAACCCACGAATACAAACATCCACAGCTGAGCCTTCTTCCCTAAAGATAATGGAAGCAAGCAAATATTAGTGTATTCTTTCCTTCTAGCACCAAACCAAATGAGCAATCGGTTCGACCTCTGAGAATTTTGCAAATTTCAGGTTTCCCATGAGTTTCCCACGTCTCATTGTTTCTTCATGAGAGTCCATTAATAGGGGAAAGTTTGCTGGTGGCTGCATAACATCACGATTTCTCTGTTAGAATTATATCGAGAGAAAAGTGGAGAAGGGGCTTGTTTCTGACTTGTTACTAGATTCATTGGTTTTCGATAATGTCAAGCTCACCGGAAAGGACACAATATGATCGTGGGGAAGTGCTCCTTGTATTGCTGCATACCTGCGAAAGATAGTATACTAATGATAAGTGCATGTAGATTTTCATTGCATGATTCATATCTAGGGATTCTGTGCAGACAATATTCCACGTCATGGAATTCAGGATGCAACGACGTCATGATCCAGTGAATTAATCGCCCAGCAATGAGTTTTTTGAAAGCTTACATGATGAGTGCGTCCTCCACGGTCCCGGTAAGAGTACCCAACATTCCCACCGTCCAGTTCAATGGCAAGACTCTGCAAGATCGTTCATGTAGACACTTTCTTCAGACTACAGTTTCTGCACACTGGTCCTAGAATTTGACTTGCTCCATTTAAGCCTCCTCAACTTTTTGGATGGCATCATGGCGACGTGGATTCTACGGCAGGCTAGAATCCGTTTCATTACCATATTCTGAGTGTGAATACAGGCAGTGGGCACCAATCGAAACTCGCAAACCGGAAGTCAACAGGTTTTTAGAATACTTCTCACGCAAGGGTCACTGTCCACAATTGCCTTTCAAGTACGTTGAGCTTTAGACTCTCAGGGGGAATCATGACAAAGGACAGCTTCATCTGCAGGGCCTTAGTGGTGGAGAATTTAGGACATACCCAACATTCGATGTCCGGCCGAATGTGGGCTTGAGGCCCACCACTCCGCATAAACCAGCAGGCATACGCACCGAGCCTGTCACCCATCGGCAATAACGGCCCAACCAGTTAACGTATTGAGAACCGCGTGAAAATGACAGCCTCGAATTGGGTCACACAAGAAGAGCGAATCAAAATAATGGCTACTGATCTAAGACAAATTACAATCTATAGTGTTATAATCCCATTGAGGAAGATGGGTTTCGGCCCGAGGTTTCTGATGCTTGTGAAGGAAGGAGTAGGCCCTTGAGGATCACCTCCTCCATCAACACCTAGCGCAGCAGGACAGATGCCAGCAGCCACTGCCGCTGCCGAGCCTCCCGATGAGCCTCCAGATGCTCTTGTCTTGTCATATGGGTTGCGAGTTGCCCTACGACACAGAAATTACACAATCAAACACACTGCCAATATTCTACACAGATGGGCGCATCACATTGCTGCCGTGTCCCTTCCACAAGTTCCGGAACAAAAACGAGATTCCAATCTCCTCTTCGCATCCAGCATCTTCCAGTCACACCAGCTGACAGAATGATTCGAGGATCTAGAAAGAGGTGAACACATTTCACACAATCACACATGAGATTGCCAAATCCTTCGCTGCGGAAAGCTAAACGACAACGAGTACCAAGATTTGAGTTCACGTACCCGTAATGTGGATTGATGCCCGTGGTACCCATACCTAATTCGTGCATGTTGGTCTTCCCAACCATGACTGCCCCACATGAGCGCAAGCACTTCACCGCTTGTGCATCATCCTTCGTCTGCCGCACTTCGCCCAGCCACGTCGTCCCCCCTGCACTAATTTCTCAACCCTGAATCCTAAATTTTGTAATTCTGACCACAATCCACATCAAGCATCCCCCACGGGGTGACTCTCCTACCATCGACACACCCTGTTTGATTGGCTGGAATCCTCGTACCTGTAGTTGCGTAAGGCAGGCAGTCTATCTCATCCTTCACCGCAATGGGGACTCCATCTAACACTGACAACGGTTGCCCTGAAGGACACGAGTAGAGCAACGGTTCAGCCATAACTTCGATGTGGTTCATTGATATGAAGCAGATACTCGCGATTTGTCGTCGACTTTGCAAGAACACCTTCGCATTGAATCGATATTCAGAAGAACGTAATCTGAGGCATGTCTTCGAGAGCAGGAACGACGTTTGCAATTGACGTCGTCCACATAACAACGTTGTGTACCTTTCTTGTAGCGTGCAGCTGATTCTGCCGCTTGAGCAAGTACGTCTCGCGAATCCATTGCACTGAATAGGTTCATTCCTTGATTTTGCGAATCCTCCACTGCTGATATAAATCGCTCCGCTACCTGCGCACATCATGCGTGAGGTCAGTGTCATCGAAAGCCAGTCCAAAATTTGTTCATGTTTATGGAGTGTGGATTAATGTAAGAATATGAGTTTTACCTGTATGGGAGTAAGCCTTCCTGAAATGTAAGCCTGGGCATAGTCCCGAATAGTCCAATGGCGAAAACTGTACTGTTTGTCCTCTACCTCATTGTATACTTTGTCTAATGCTTGCGGTGGCAAGCATCTCACAGCCGATACAACGCTGTCCGTGGGAACCGTATCCGGCTGCACTTGGAGCACCATCTGCTCTTGAACAAGCCTCGCTGAAAGATTATTCCACACAAACGAGTATTCGTCGAACGGTTTCAAAACCCTTGCCGAGAGTTGCATCGTGAAGCTAAAGATGGAATGTGTTCAATTGCAAGCAGGAGTTGGTGGGGTGATAAGTGATACACTCACCAGCCTCTCTAGGAAATTGCGGAATGTACATGGGTGGTTCGTCATACTTCGACTCAACCAACGTCTGCATGTCATCACAGCACGGGACACTTCTCATAGCCCATCCACGGTCTTATCCTGCAACTTTTAAAGGGAGAATTCCGGACATGTTCGCCAGCATCTGCTTAATTACTACAAGTTCATTGAGTACAGGATTGATAGATGCATAGAATTTGAGATTAGAAACAAGCTCGGAGAGACTCGAATTGCCGAGATGCATGTGTTAGACAGACCTTGGTTATTAGGTTGTCCTTTTTGAGTTTGGGTAAAATGAGGGAGCTCGTCATTCCTGTCTCCAGGAACCATGTGAAGCACTTGAGGGGAAACCCTGCCAGCCGTGGCGCTGCGCATCAAGGCAATCAACACAATTCTTCCGTAAGTATTGGTTAACCTGCACAAGAACGAAGCTAAACATGGAGGTCTTTGACTGAAACGAGTGGTGGAATTTTTTAGCAGTGCTTAGTCAATCCAACCTCATGTAGCATCTTTCTCATTCAGCCTCTCAGAACAAAATTGTGGGGAAATTACTTTCTTTTGCGCAGTTCAAGCTTATTGCCTGAAGGAGGTTTTAGAAATGCTGCCGCCCTTGGACAATTACTAGTTTTATTGCCTAGAACAAGCCTGGTTGGTGATTCAGGAAGTTCAGGTGATCAGAATTTTGAAAGCATCTTTCTCAAACAGGAATGATAGGGATCATAAACCCCTGGCGCCACCGTATGAATGGCAATCTAGCGGAAGTTTTAGAATGATGAATTAAGGTTCATTTTTATCAGCCAGGTTCATTACTCGCTGACAAGAAATAGACTCCGAAAGCTGCTGATGCTACTCAGCGATTTGCTAGTATACTTCACCGCCATTTTCCAACCAATCTCATGAAAACGGACTCTAACAACAAAAAAAAGCCCAATATGATGAGGCTGATGCTCTTACCGCGGACTGTAACATACCGGTACTCGGCTTTGCTGTTCTCCTCTGTGCTCAGCAGCTCCATCCCTCCTGATGCTGCCACTTTAACCACCATAGCTGGGCTAATTTCAGTGAATTCTGTGCACAAATCGCTAGCCTGTACGCTTCTCTCTGGGAGATGTGCTCGATATGAGTCCACGTCTTTCACCTCTTCCACTGGTCTCCCCACTAAAACTGCAGATCGACAGGAACAGATGGCAAGCAATTTCACAAATCCAGACCAACGAGTCCTGCTGCAACCTTGGAAGTAGAATTTTCCAGATACAGAATTTGTGCAACCAAAATGCCCTCAGGCTACCAATCCCCTCTTTTTTAGACTTTTCCCTTCGCTCTTAGGACTTTCTCAAGGGCATCTTACATGTGTGCACATCCAACGTGCATGGGCTTTTCAACATGCTCTTCTTGCTGCTTGACGACTGAGCAATCATAGCACACTTTTTACCACCGTCCCACCTCTTTGCTCTTTACACAATTCTGAGATTTTAAGTATGGTGTCTAGATACTACGATCTCTCTCCCAGGATAAAGCTTGAGATGAAGCTTGAGTTACATTTGAGAGAACACAGAATTGACAGAATACAGACACACAATGACAGATTACATAATATAGACACACTTTAATGTGCGTAGACACAAGCACAGAAATTGGATTTATAAGTTGTCGAGCCCCAGAAGGGCTTTACAAATACTAGCTGGTGAGGCCAGTCTGGTATCCGGGGATGAGACCCTGAGACAGAAGTTGATACCCCGACATGGAGTATTACAAACAGGGTGGTTCTAACACGCCCTATCACTTGGATACACCCATAATCGGATGCAAGTGGAGGTGATCACTGAATTGTCAACAATCGAGAGGAGCCGTATAACGTCAACTTGGAACAATGGTGGAGATTCATGGCCGAGAGTGGGGAGAGCATGGCCAAAGGTGTGATGTACCAAGGGATAGAGTGGTCCCTGATGCAGAGCGTACATCTTTGATAAGAATATTTCAATCTTTTTGCCGTGATCGGATCTCGGGCTTGTCCTAGTTTGGAAGTGGTAGAACACATCAATAACTTGCTGTTTTTGCTGGTGCAAATTTATATGATCTTAATGGGACTATGGTATTTCATGGTGGCATTTCATTAAGTCAATTGCTAGTGTTTTGAGTTCACCTTTGCATCGTTGCTTTGCTTGTAGTTTAGAGACGTTGTTTGATTGCACCATGAGGTTGAGGTTGAATGTGCAAAGAGGGAGTATTGAGAGCTGAGGTTTAAGGCGGTACTATATTGTGCAACAAGGTCGTCACCTTGGCATCTATAACAACTATTCTAAGTGTGAGAAACATGTGATAGGATTCAAAGGTACTAAATATAGGAATTTTAAGATCCTAGCAAAGGCAGAGAAATTTATAATGGATTTTTAGGTGGTACTAAGTCATTTCTTATTAGCTATTTAATGAATTTAGACTTCAAATATCTAATTCACTCCTTAGTTTTGTAAACCTCTACTTGCTTAGAACTTTGGTAAAAATGTTTGCAATATGATCTTGGATTGGAATATAGAATAGATCTACAACGTTTGTGAGGACATTTTTGTGCATGTAATGTAGCCATATTTCCATGTGTTTTGACTTATCATAGTAGATGGAGTTTTTAGCTTACTTGAAGTTACTCTAGTTATTGCAAAATAATGCTATTGGATCTTGTTTTGTTCCATAGATCTTGAGAATAATATTCTTATTCAAATAGCTTCCTTGATGCCTTTGGCAAAAGCTCTAGCTTTGACATTAGTTGATAATATGGATATTTTTTTTTGCTTTTTTGATGCTTAAAAGATAAGGCTTCTTATAAATTTGAATATCCATTTGATGATTGACTTGTGGTCCACTTTGGACTTTGCTTAATCTAAATATATAAACTCCATTAATATTGGCCTATGGTTGATTTCGTAGAAGATATTAAGTTCAATCAAGCCTTTGATATAGAGGAAGATTTGATTTGCTACTTGTAAGTGTGGAGTGCTGAGACTATGAACTTGTTCAATGCACTTATTATAAATATTTTTTTTGGTTTTATATTGACGAGGTAGATTAGCATATTGATTAGCTTGTAGAATGGTTTAGCATCAATTTATGGCAAATCTTCTTCTTTCTCCAACTTGAGTCCTTCAAACATTAGTCTTGAAGAAAGAATACACTCTTCCATTCCAAATTCCTTCAAAATCTAAGTTGCATAGACCTTCTTTGATATAAATATGCCTTAGGATATCAAGTGAATTCTATGCTTAGATATAAATTGATTTTATCTAAGTTTGTTATTGTAAATTATTATATGAGATAGATTTTGATCTAAGAAATTTTACCAAAATTCAAGCTTATGAAGAAAAAGTTGTCCATGCAAAAAATTAGTAGTGTGATTCCTTCTTCCAAATCTTGGAGGTAGTATAAGCTATAATTAGCTTTAGTTTGAAAGAGACCATAATTATTAATAAGATTTTTGATTTTTTCAAACCATACTTGTAATGCTTGTTTGAATCCATATATTAAATTTTCAAGATGACATACTTTGTAGTTTGTAGTTGAATCACTAAAGCCATCAAGTACCTCCATGTAAATGATTTCTATTAGATTATTATTGAAGAATGTAGAATGCATGTCCAAGTAGAAGAGGGACTAGTTGTAACTAGCAATAAATTTAATAATGAAGTGCATTGCTTCTAATTTAGTAATATATGTAAAAACTTTATTATAATCTATTCCTTTATCTATTAAAATCCACATGCTATCAATCAAGCTTTGAATTTATTTAGGTGGCCATCTCCTCCATTTTTTGTTGTATAAACCTATTTAGTTGTCATAATTGATACTTCAAGTAGAAGGTTGCAAAGCTCCCATATTTTATTTTTGATTATAAAATCTTTTCTTATTTTATTGTAGCACATCAATTTGCAGTAGAATTAGTGTCGGTAAATGTAATTAGATCACTTGATTTTTTTATAATCCCAAAAAATTAATCAAAGTTGATAGAATGAGAAAGTTCAACAATATTTATGGAGTAGATGATATTGCCTTCTACTTGTAAAGAAGGTTGATTTATGCAAGTTAAGAATTGGTGCCTTGTTGTGGGCTAAATTATAGCTTTGGCTAGAATTGAGATACCACATGTATTATAAAAAGACAAATCAAAGATGATTGTCATGAAGAGATGATGTTGGTTGAATGTTTGGCACTTGCATTGCCAAAAAAGATAAACATGTATTTACATTGGAAAGTAGTAGATGTCATAAAAGATAAGTTGTATGATGTTATTCTTTGAGCTACAAGATCTAATGCTAACAAGTTTTTTTCATTGAACATATTTTATGGTAGAATTGAGGCACTTACAATAGATGAAATAATGGAGCTAACTTGTGATGGTATAATTATATTGTAGACAATCATTCTAGAATTTGACAATAGAGTGATTTGTCTTGGAGCTCCTGTGTATAGAATGTAATTTTCATCAAATCTACCATTTGAAGAAACAACTAGCTTATTAACAATTAGTATTTAGGTTTTATATTCTTTTGTTCTTAAATCATAGCCAAAACATGATAAAACTTTAGCATTAGCTTAAAATTTAATTCTTTGATCTTAATTCACATACAAATACATGAACAAAAGTCTTTCAAGATGAAGATGTCTAATTTTTTACCAATGAATTTTTGAAATGATATTATTTGAGGTAGATATTTTGTTGGAAATTTTTTGATGAAAAATGTAGTAGTGTTGATGACTTAGATCGAGAGGAACATTAGTATGCTAGCTTGAATCAACAAGTTGAGTCATATATCATATATTTTAAGGTTTATTCTTTCTACTATGTTTTTTTTTTTTTTTTTTTTTTTTTTTTGAGGATTTTTACATTAGTAAAATGTCTATTCATTCTTATATCTTTTCATAATTTTACAAAATCATTGGATAGAAACTCGCCCTCAAAATTACTTTAAATAAAGTATATCTTTTTTTTTAATTAAATTTTAATCATATTCTTGAATACTTCGATTTTTTTTTTAGTTTGAAATTTGAATTAAAGGAAGTTCACCTAGGTGCACCTATTATAATTGTCAATAATAACAAACATGTAGTTTGATCCTTCAAGAGATGTCATCAAAAAAATACTATAGAGATCTATGTGTAGTAACTCCAATGCTTTGGCTGCTTGTAAATTATTACTTTATAGAAATCCAATCCAAAACTATTTTTCTTCTTAGCATCCTTTATATATTTTGGAATATATTAGAATGTAGAATAAGCTTATTACTATTTCTTTTGTTGCAAGTTTGTGAAGATGTGGATATTTAATGTGCTCATGGCAATGGTACCATAATCTTATGGTATACAAGTTGAACTGGGCCAGATTTCCTACCATATTTGGTGGTCATGATAAGAGTTGATAGGACCCATTTTGTTTTATACTTGAATTCTTTTGCAACAAACTTTCTATGGCCCTAATTATAAAGAATTCATTTTTTTAAATTAAAACATGCTACAATACTATAATTTATAAATAAGTATATCAATAATAATAAAAAATAATACAAAAAATATATAAAATACTAAAGATTTTTTTTTAAAATTATTTCATCAAATGGGAGTTATAAATAAATAATATCTTTACTAATGATCTGATAATTTTAGTTGAATATTATTTTGAAATTGCTACTAAAAATCTCTAAGCTATTAATATTATATAGATTGTCACTTACATCTTAAGTTTCTTTCCTATCAAGATATGAGTCCAAATCAAAGCTATATGTATCCGGCAAGGAAATTATGCCTTCAATAACTCGGTCACCTATGTTATCTATTATAAAGACAATGTCAACTGCATAGTTTTGAAAATCAAGCCATATTTATTCTTCTTCCATAAGATTTCTGGATTAGAATTTGATGCCAAGCTTGGCTATACAATCAAACTCCAACTTTCATATATCCACTAATTTTTCTAAATATATATATTTGAGGTATTTGAGCTAATGATAGTAGTAGCATTGAACTTGTTGAAAAGTATTGCTTCTACATCTATAGATTGTATGAAGTGCTAAGAAGCTAAATATAGGATTTGTGGAGCCTATAGTATATTTAGTGTGTTGTATTTAGTTGTTATAAAAGTAGATAGCTTTGGTAGTAGCAATCTTGATCTTGGATTGTGTTTGGCATCATCTTTGTTTAAATATTATGTATGATTGCAACTGGTCTAGTACTAGATATCTTCCATTGGTTGTATAATAGCTCAAAAAATAATTATGAGAATTAGAGAGAACTCTCATATCCACCTATATAAGATTTGAATCATTAATGCATATACCAATAGTGGAAAATTTAGCTAGTATATGTTTAAATAGAGAGAAGTAATTTTCTATGCTTTATCATTTTAAGAATATTATTAGACTTAACTTATTTTTTAAGTCAAACTTCCTATTGCGATTGGCATTTTTGAATAAGCAGTGTAAGAAATCTCAAAGCCTCTTTGGTTCTTTGTTTGCCTTCAAGTCATTATAGTCAAAAACATATTAGTAGATGATAAAAATTAGTACAATGGCTTATAAATGCATCCAAAGAGCCATATATTATCTTTAAACTAGTGTAAGGTATTTTATAGAGATACAATGGAACCATATTTATACCAAAACAATCTATAGTCATGTATGTAATTGGAGTAACTATGGAATTTGGTGAAACTACTGGCACTTAAGGTGCTACTATATAGATGGCCAATTATCTAATTTAAAGTCGGACCTCAAAGTCCCTCTAATTACTTTTTATGTGCCTAAAATTTTCTTAGACACCACTTAATATCCTACTTTTGTTGTGGTGCTACTATTAATTACTATAGTAGCTTTTATTTGTACCACTTTATAAAATCTCTTATTATTTTGTAATTGAGCTGACATGCAAGAATTTCTAATGGTGAGACTTTGCTTGGAATATTTGTTGATGTCATTGTGGCACTAAAATTTCTAATAGTCAATGAGCATGGATAGGAGATTCGGTCTAATGTGTACATGAGTTGTTCAAACTTATTCTCACTAGACTCCTCAACATCAAAATCCTTGGTGTCTGATCTCTTGCCCTTTGTAAAAATGTTCATGGTGTGCTTTGACAGAATGTCTTAGAGTTTTTCTTGCTTAGCAATACTTGTGATCATGTACTCCAAAGGTGGAAGTTTGATTATCCTACTAGCTTGACTTCTTTAGGAATTGGGTTGTCTTTTGGAGTGATGGAGATGGTGATTAGAAAAAAAACAAACAACAACACATTTCTATTACAAACGTATTCTATTACAAACGTATGCTTGCTCTGATACCATGAGAGAACACAGAATACAGACACACAATGACAGAGCACAGAATATATACACACATAATGTGCGTAGACACAAGCGCAGAAATCGGATTCATAAGTTGTCGAGCCCCAGAAGGGTCGATACAAACACTAGTTAGTGAGACCGGTCTGGTATCCGGGGAGGAGACCCGGAGATAGAAGTTGATACCCTGACAGGGAGTATTACAAGCAGGGCGTCTTTAACAACATTTAATTTGCAGTACCCACGCAGCTTTAAACAACTTACTTTCAAATCAACCCACAGAGCAGTTTCATACTTTTCCACTCCCTATGAACGCACTTTCGCTGTTCCAACGTCAAATTAAAGTCGTGACCGAACTGGTGGTCTGAGAGTACTTGACTTGAGAGATATTGTCTAGTGGTGCGAATGACTTGTTTCTGTCACCACAAGTGAATTCTGACTCCCAGATAAAACTGGATTCTCTGACCCTCCACAGAACGCCGCGTCAAAGCTCTCCCGGTGCTTCCTTATTAACTGCAATCAAGCATCTCGCATTCAGCATCAAGTAAGCATGAAGCGCGATTACTTCTGGGTTTTTGCAATGACCGGGAGCGCAAGGAAAAGCTGGTGGACGTTGCCGGTGCTCCGCTGCGCCGCTTCAACGGCGTCAGATCCCGTGTGTGAGCTGATCCTTCCACACAAAGACACAACCACGGTGAGAACCGTGCGTATGATCACGCTGGACCAACTTGAGGAGACTTTGCGAGCCCATTGCATTTGTCTTTGTTTTATTATGCAGAATTGTACTATTGAGAAGGATCTATTATTGTTTCTATTATTGTTTCTGTTGTTGTTCCATGTAGTCACAAGAGACGACCTGTAGTGCCTTGTTGTTGTTGGCTTGTTATTTTAACGGTTTAAATCACCGCTTTGCTTGTTGACCTAACCAGACGACTGTCGTAAAAGAACAATTTTGGTTTTGGTTTATTGGTGGGTGAGATGAGATCCACCACCTACCGTGTAATCCCCTACCTCCCACTCTCACACTCATGAGGAGGACTTTATGTCTTTATCTTAGACCTAAATTGTTAATATAATAGATAGAATGTATGAGTTATTTTGTTGATCACAATTTGTGTGTGTATGTGTGTGTATGTTTATATATATATATATATATATATATATTGTCACAGATTCACATGAATGATCAGGAATAATAGATGGTGGTGAGGTGTGTGAGTTGGTAGAGAGTTTGACTGTTTAGCTAAAAAGAAAGGGTCTTATAAGCTTGTCATAGTGTACTTTCTCCATGTGATGTATTACCTCATTTATGATACAGTTTACTTGTACATTGGTGTGGTTTCAAGAAGAAGGAAGGTTTTTTCAGACAATGCATTTTGGTTTCAAATTGTGTGCTAGGGCAACTGATTTAGTTTAATTTGATTTTGTATACTGCCCAGATTAAAGTATGTCTGAAAAGAAAATAAATACTAGAATGAGAGGGTTTTTATATGTAGATGTTTGCTTTGGAAAGGCATGTTATAAAATTGTCTAAAAAATGTTTTGTTTGCCAATGATTTTTTTTTACTTTTTTATTTTATTTTTTTTTAAATAATTTTTGTCTTTGGAGATAGTATAAATTGAGAAGAGGTTATGAAATGGACCAAATCATTCTTTTTAGCTAAATGGTACTTCCAAAGAGTCTTCTTAAAGAGTCTTCCAAAGAGTCTTATATATATATATATATATATATATATATAATAAATAAAGGGACTTGTTAAAGCCACACCGTCCCTTCTCACTAAATGATTGAAATTGTACTATTTCCCATCTCCAATCATGTTCCCATTTCAATTCTCCCATTCCTATTCCCATACTATGTCCCCACCTCACCCTCCACAAGGAGGAGATGGAATAAAATAAAATATATACAATATATGAAATATAAAAATATATATATAAAGAATTCAAAATTAAAAAATTAAAATAGGACTCAACAGAAATCAAGTTAACACTTAAATACAAGCTACCTTACAATATATAATGGATCAAAAGATGTTAAATGTGGAAGAAAATAAACGTTAAAAATAAAATAAATGATTCCAAAAGCAGTGTTGAGGTACAAGACTCTCATATTGGCGGGCACAAGATTTTCATTTATTGTATCTTGTGATCTACAGTAAAAATAAAAATAAAAATAAAAAAATATCATGTAAACAATCATGTGTTGTGCTCAACACATAAAAAATCATTTATTGGCACATAAATAGACACATTAATACAAACATATACAATATTTTATTAAAATAAGATATCTCATATATTGTATACATTTTATTTTATTTTCTTCTCCTCCCTGGAGAGGGTGGGGGCAGGAAGGGGGGGGGGGGGGACGGGGTATGGGAACGGGGAACGGGAGACTTGATATGAGAACAGGGAACGAGGGGATTGGGGACGAAAGACTATTACAATTTCAATCATTTAGTAGGAAAGGGGGGTGTAGTTTTAACAAAGTTGGGGTGGCTTTAACAAGTCCCTCTATATGTTTTACTTATATTAAATTACTAAATAAAAAATTTGTAAAAAAATAAGAATATTTACTACCATATTGAGATTTAAGGTATACAAACAAATATATGTCACTTTTAATACAATTGCAAAAAATATAAATATTTTATTATTATAATAAATATAAGGTTTTATAGTTTTTGATCAAAAAATATATAAATAGATAAAATTTTATTAAATATATTACTTAAAATTAAAATACTATGAATAAATAGTATTAATCAATACTACAATTGATTGTAGAATATTGATGCTTATTAACCACCACTATTGGCTAATCCTCCAAACTTTTTTTTTCTTATTTGAGAATCTTTATTATTTGAGAATAATTGAAAAAAAAAATTGAACTAAATAAAAAGTTGAACATTTTTGTCAAAAAATCAAGTTATAGTTTTTTCAGAAAAGGATATTATATTAAACTCTAATAGTAGCTATAATAATGTTAAATTATTCATGTATGTGTATATATATATATATATATATATGTATATATACATTTGGCTTGTTTATCATATGATTTATTATTCCATCTAAAAAATAATTTATCAACCATACATTTAAAATTCTTTTATAAAAGACCATATATATGTTCAACAAATTGTTTTGAATTTTGTAAGATGTGTTGTATTAAGGGTACAAAATATTTAAATGCATAATATTCAAGTTTAAAAGAATTAAATGAAAAAACCACACAAAAATTTGATTTTGTTGCTTTTATCAAATGTAAGTGGTAAAATGTTTTAAGTGTGTGTTTCATGGTCATGTCAAAGAAACAACAACCATGATATTCATGATACCTTATATATATTCCTTGATTTCCAATGCAAAGAGCATGAACTAAATTACTCTTTTGCTCTAAGTGCGACCAAATTGAGCAATCAAAATTCATCATACCTCAAAATGAAAAGATTTTGTTATTGATGCATGAGACAAGTGGCCATAGCCATGTCAACATTATTGACTACCTACTTTTGTGCTTTGGTTTATAATGCTGATACTCAAACATGAGCTGCAACAAAGATGTTTATTCTTAGCTTAGAAAGGCTGAATGTATCCACTTCATCAAAAAGAAATAAAGAAAAAATAAAAGTAGACACTCGTTCTCAAGCTCTTGCATGGGGAATGGAAAGCAAACAGCGACACCAAAAGAAAAAGGAAATTATGTGCTTATCTTCTTCCTCTGTTTACTAGGAGGTGGCAATATTGTACCACAATATCCAATTGAAGATATATAAAACTCTCATCTCATTTCATCGCAGCAACTTCCTTTATATTTAAGATTTTATATGGACCACAGTTGTGGTCTACTGTTCGTACTCTGCTCCACGGGTTAAGTCTCTCCATCCATACAACCATGCATGCTTGGGTACTAATGAAATTTGACGCTACTGACGCAAAAAACACAATAAACGAAACTAAACAAAACAAATCATACTTCAAGATAGGACCTCCTCCCGCTTTTTTAGTTGTCTCATTGGGATGTTGTCCTTTAGAATTCTGTTTTTTGAGACAATCATGTAACTACCGTCAAGGACACCTGCATTATGGAAAAGCGAACTCATCTCCGCTTGCAGGAAGGACCTACTAAACTTAAAGGGAACTTTTGAGGGCGGACGAAGATTGAGCTCTCCTCGTACCGCTTATCCTTCTCTGCGCATGATGTGAGGTGGGTCTTGAGAAGTACTACAGTTCATCCCCCCATGACCCTTCCCGGTACCTAGTGTCAGGTTGTTGTGTGCAGACTTTAACTCGGCCCACGATCCCGTGTGGCTGCGTCGGACTTTAGTCCCTTGATCGAGGTTGTAGACAATTATCACGTCGTCGACAGATGATTAGGATTCCCTTCACATTTAAATTCTCATCTGCGTGAGGTTCATATCAATAAAGATGCCACGTGGTAAACATCAATTGACGCCCTCAATTATCCATCATTTTCATCAAGAAGGCATATTGAAGCGCTGTCGATATCAAGTGCTGATACCGGCCTTTCTCACCGAAGTGGCCTGTATTCATGCTAGTCTTCAAAATTACGGGCTTGTCCTCGCCTACAATTGCCAAATCTCGAATCTTTGCAACCAACTTCGCCGCCTCCCAGTACCCCACTCTACTCAAGTGCAATCAAGACGGGGCTGCTGAGTGAAAGACACTCTGCACGCTAAATATAAGACTGCTTTTGACTCGTCTGAGGAAAGAAGCTTAGTGCTAGAGAAACTACCAAGTTCCTGCTCAATCTTCTGCAATTCATGATAAAATAGAAGAGATGAATGCATGAAAAAAGATCATACCGAGTATCATTCAGAGAGGCTAAAACGAGCAATGCTGGATAGGCGGTCCGCTCCTTTAGTGTGTCATATGGTGAGTATTCACGAATATAATTGAAGTAGGTAGGATCCTCAGGATTTCCCCATTCATCATAGTCCGCTACTGTCAATGGCAAGGTTGGATCTAACATTGTGTTGCAAACATCCACAAAAGGAACCTGCAAGTCAAAAGTTCAGAAGACAATGTGCTCCGTTTTTTAATTAAAAAACCGCCATTTATGAGTTTACCTCAGAACCTGATTTGAACACAACAATGACAAACGCCTACAAATGGCTGTTGATTATCGTATAAACACCAACAAGCGCAGTTTGGGTGGATTCCAGCTGGTCCTCAGAAATCAGAACATATTGAATAAGTGCACTAAGTACTTCATTCAAAACGTACCTCGAGTATGGCAGCACAAAATAGATCAGGGACCATGTTGATAGTGGCAGCAACCAGGAGACCTCCTGCGCTAATTCCCCACGCGGCCAACTTACTGGGATGCGCGTAACCATGCTCCACAAGATAATTGGCAGAGGCTATGAAGTCTTGGAAAGAGTTACACTTCTTTGTCAGCCTTCCAGCATGATGCCATTCTCTGCCGAGTTCTCCACCACCCCTGGAATCAAATGCCTCGTGTCAAAGAAGTCTTCTAGAACAGAAGAGAACTTGGAAGTACTGTACAAAGTGAGAACCAAGAATGAAGTGAGAATTGTGAATCAAAGTACGATTTTTTGCCATGAGTCCCCACCTCACATGAGCAAATGCAAGAACCCAACCACGGTCAAGAAGACTCAACCGGTCACTGCACCATTCCGTCTCAAGAATCTGGCCATAAGCTCCATAGCCGAGCAACAGAGCTGGAGAAGTTCCTTCCTTGACGACATTTCTGGAATGAAATATAGTAAGTGGAACGTGGACTCCATCTGATGAAGTTACAATAGCCTGTTTGCACACATATAAAGAAGAAAGATCTCGCCACACACAATTGGTATTTGGTGGTCTACTTTCTGAGCGTTCAACAAGGGATCGACTGTTTTGAGTATTGGGCTGCAGGACATATTGATTTTGCTGCAAAAAAGTTGATTCACCAGTACGAAGGTCATAGTCGAAGGTTGCTTCTGGCATCTACACACCAGACGATAAAGATCAAGATTCAGTGAAGAGAAAAACCAAGGGTGGAGCGGATGCTTTCAACTCGCTAGCCTTTAAATACAACGATAGTGCGGACAGAAAGTCTATCAATTCAGATGATACAGAGAAAATCTGGAGAAAAATCAGAAGCACACAATCGCAAAAGTAACGAACCAATGGTGAGTTTATAGTTAGTCGGATCGATGGTGAGAAGAAGTCTTGATTGACACCTGGGAGAATACTGCAAACCTGCTGTGGAAGGGAAAGCTCCCTTCCTCTTCTTTCCTGCATGACAGGACCAGCCCCAGCAATATAATTATCACATATAATGTAAGCAAGAAATATATCAGAACGTGCAAACTTCAAATACATCCAGCTTTCCCAAATAAGCATGAAATATGCGCATTGTCAAAAGGCGCGACGAACTAATTTTACTAAAAACTTACGTTACACGTCTCATTGTGAGGCAGATCCAAAATTTGTACACGAGGCAGGCCCGCTTTTCGCTGGTAAAGCACTAAATGTTTGTGGAATACATCCATGTCCACAATGGCCATATCCTCTTCCACCCGAATGACTTCCTGTGTCCATAAGACACCCGAATGGATTGAAGATACAATATTCACAACGATAAGAGCCAATACTGCTGAGCAGGATATAAATATGTAAAGTCGCGATACATATTGTGCGCAAATACTGTACACCCAAAACAATGCCACCAAGATTGAAGTTCGTTAAAACTCAGGATGAGGTTTACCTCCCAATGATCTGAGCCAGGTGTCGAAACAGGACACCTTACTAGTCGGTAATTAGGGGAAAGTCCTGAATTAGTAAGAATATAGAGGAATCCATCATGATGCTCCACAAAATACTCGACTTCTGATCTGCGGGGCTCCACAATGCGTACTTTTCCTCCAGGATTTCTTGCATCCACGAGATGGACCTGCATAACTTGTCTTCACACCTCAATGCAAGGGCTAATGACAGCATAGCGCTCTAAAATCTAGAAGCCAGAAAAGTCACGATGTCAAAAACTAAAACTACTTCAACAAAAGCTCTACCTCGGATGACGTCTTAGAATTAACGTTGAGTGTCAAATAACGCCAGTCCTTCGTTCTGGCGACATCCACAAACCTAGAATCATCGTTTTCCTGCAGTACCAGTTTGCTCCCAGTAGAGGAGTCCAAGCTGCGACAATACACCCTGAACGATCACACCAAAATCTGTCAAAACTTAAATGGTCCAGGACATCACATACTGACGCACGAAAGACTAACCCGTTATGTTAGTTGTACTGCACTTGGAAGACAACACAATAAACTGTAGTGCAACAATACAACCTCTTCGGTTAACCACAACGATTTGCCATAAATCAATCGGGACCATTTTAATTATTGGAAGGTGATGTTGCATTGACTGCAGGTCAATGTCTACATACATACACTTGTAAGAATATGATTATTATTTGAGATCAGAGAACTGTAGAATGATGCAATGTGAAGCTAACAACTTAGATCAAGTGAGCTCTGTTACTAAGCAGCTGGCATTTGGAGAAGTATCATAAGGAAAGACACACATAATGCAATATAGATGATCTACGTAAGCATAGATGACATTATCACATTTAAATGAAAACAGTTGGAGAAACACAAACGAAGTGTACTTGAAAGGTCGCATTAAGTTGTCAGCAACGGTGTAGAATAGGCTTGGCTCGCTCTGCGCCCATTCAACGCTCACAACGCCTTCTACAGTGTGCTGAGCCAGAACCTGCCCGGAACTCAAATCCTTCACAAACAGAGTGAATTCCTCACAACCATTCTTATCCACAGTATAGGCTAGCAATTTGTGGTCTGCTGACAACTTGCACATCCCCACATGCGCATAACCTGCGTACCACTTTCAATGTCATTCATTAGTATACACAGAACATTCTAACAGCAGATCTACTAAGCAAATATGAATGCCTAACTGTAATTGATAGGTTAGGAAAGTCATGGCAACAAAACCAGAGCGTACCGAATTCCCTAGCTATGGCATTCTGGTCAAGCAGAATCTCCTCATGCGTGCTCATAAAACCCTTCACATCACATCCTTCTGCTCGCCGCCGGCAATAAACTGGAAATTCTGCTCCTTCTGGAACTTTGCTGTAATACAACCTGTCAAAGCAATTGAGTTGGAACTAAAAATATCAACAACAGTGGTAACATAAGTATATCAACTAACAACCAAATATGAGCAAGTTTATCAACTTCCAAATAGTGTTGGCCTATAACGAAAGGGAGCGAGATTTCTTCATAAGCAGAAAAACCATACCAGCTTCCCCAGCGCTCTGGAGGAGTAACAAGCTCTGCGCTTATCCTGCCCTCCATTTCCTGGACCAGGCGGTGTTGTAAGGGTAAAGTATCAGCCATTATCACGTCTGCATACCGGTTTTCCCGACGAACATGCTCGGTCAAATGTGCTTTCTCAGAGGGACTCGACATCCAGTGGTATGGATCGTTCCACTTGATGCCATGAGCTTCTTTTAGGAAAGGCCTCTTTGAAGCGATCGGAGGCCTAGTTTGAGCATGAAGTCGCTCACTCCAAAATTCTCTTTCACAGGACTTGAAACTTCCAAGGAAACGGCTCAAGCAAGATGACACAAGAGCAGAATCTCGCTCTCGTCCTCGGTGCCAAGAAAAGAACACACGTGACAAAGCTCGTTGCTTTCCCATCTTAAATCCTCAGTGTGCAGTGTAATCACGGGGTCCACATGGTTACAGACATAGGTCAAATGTAATTTGCAGAAGTGCAGATCAGACGTCGCCTATGAGGGTAATTCGTGCCACTACAACTTGCCGCTGTTCATGTCAGTAGCTGGATTCCGACTAAACACTCACATTCAAGGAAATTGAATGCTACAGGTGACATTCGTTTTCAGATAATACCCTCCAAATGCTCAGCCCGCTCCGCGACATGAAGGACGTGGCTCAGACTATATCAGTAATACTCTCCATGTACTTGACTGAGAACTGCCAGGTCCAGCTCTCATGCTTACGAATCGCTAAATCTCGCAATTCGATGCTGTGAGCAAGGAACAAAAAAAGTGAGTTTTCGATACAGCACACTAGATACTCAACATGTAGTATCCTCAGTATAAATTCATGCGAATTCCTCAGAGCAAGCGAATTCGTCATGTGATCTACATTTTTTATCCATCGAATTCCAGAACTATTCTGCCCAAGCGTATGTAACGAAAATCCCGGAATCAAACGAAATTTGATATTGGCATCTCACACGCAGGCTTCTCCACGCACATCCTCCTTCCACCTTCAACGATGAATCCAACATTCAACCCCCACAAGCCAACGACACCATGAAAGAGAGAGTAAAAATAAGAAAAAAGGAATGAAAAAAATAAGCGAGAAACGCGAGGAAAGATCGATTTCAAAGTATGAAAGTCGATTACCTCTTTCAAGACGTTCGATTCGGTTGAGAGCTCTTCCGCCATAGCCAGATCCTGAGCAACAACTTCACTTGGGAGTGATTCCCGTAAACCCGAAACCTCGCCGTTCACAAAACAAAGACGAATGAATGTTTCCTCACAGTTTGGGCACCGTAATCGTTCATCCAAATTTTTCATCCATTTATTACGAGAAACCCTGGAGTCACCAACTCTGCATCCAACCGTAAATTTGAACCATTGAGCATGGCGCCATTTCTGCCACCTATGCATGTCCACCTCAGCACACACTGCCACCGTGGCCTTTACCCGCCAAAGACCCATTTGTGATCATCCAGTGCATAATCCACGTCATAAAAGGACACCTTATTTATTTTTAGAGGTTATTTACATTTTTTTATATTATTAATTGGAAGTATCCTAATATAAGTGATATTTTTTCAAAACTAAGATCTGATATTATACCTAATATATTTATTCTCTAAATCATGTAAGCACAAGCTCTTCCTATATAAAATCTGAATGTCGTTTTATGTCTAATATCTCATTTTAAATCATTTAAATAAGGTAATATAATGAATAATAAATATATATTTAATTTAATTGACATGCAGTTACCCCAATTCTATTGTGACGTGTGTAGATTTACTGTGGGCCACAGTAAATGCACACTTTTTTGAACGGGGTGGGCCGGGTGACACCACCCGGTCGAACGTGCAAGTGCTCACCCAGCCCGCGTTCACATGAAATGCTTGGACCTAGGGTTTCGGTGTTTTCGCAGCACTTATACGAGATCACACATCTTTCGTCACAATTCCATTGATCTCTTGCTCTGCACCCTCGCTATTCATCGCTGGCACCGGATCAGTTGTAACGCGTCGAACACGCCGATGAGCAGCGAGTGTTTTTGTGCTCATTTATCAACGTTTCGTGACAATCAAGCTAGGGTTTAGGACTGGCTGAAACCATGCATGGCAGCACTGCCTCTTGTCACCGTAATTCAGGTATCACGAATGCTGCATCCTGATGTTCGTCATGTGTAGGATGTGACAGGGTTTATTGGACTGATTGGCTTGATTTCGACACTGGAGAAACTGAAGACGAAAGCTAGGTAGTGGGGTGGTTTCGTTTAATTTTACGTGAATTTGAATTTGCGCCTAGGGCTGGAATACGTCGACGAGGGGAGTGAATGTAGCTCGTGATGAAGTGACTACTGCTGCCGAATTGATTTCTTGCTGAGTATTGTACACGCTAAATTTAGTCCTTGTGTGTTTTGAAACTGCTTTTTGTGAATTTCTTGGGACCGTATATATTACTTGGTGTCTTTCTTTTGCAATGTGACAAGTAGATGTTTGAATCTCTCATGAGTTGAATTTTACTGCATTTTCCTGACGTTAGCGTCACGACGTTGATGGTGGTATCCAGAAAATGTGAACAAAGAGCAAATGTTACGAAGATAAGTACATGTTCTTACATCCCAGTAACTCAAATGTGAACGTGTTAACTTGAGTCGCTCAAGGGCTTGGTGTTTTGTTGTGAGAATCATGACTAAAACCCGATCAGTTCGCAATTAATCCAGTTTTTTTCGGTAAGACCTATTTATATTCGTGAAAAACCCGAATTCTCTTACGATAGTTGTTAGCAATTGACTGGAGTAATTATGCGAAGTGTCTCGTTAGATACGAAGAGCTTTCACTGGATGCTAGGGATCATGGCTTTCAAACACAGAAGTCCAGATTGAATGTAGTATTGGCATTCTGAAATTCTGCCGAAAAGTCTTTTTGCTTTTAGCTCTACAGGAGCTAGGACGAAACTCCTGAAGGCCGGAGTCCACTTGTGGTAAATAATTTGTTTGAACAAGAGGTTAGTACTGATGTGTCTCCGCGTAATATATCTTGAATACGTACCTTAAGCTGGACTTGTACCTTATTTGGTAAGTAGATGTCGTTATGTTTCAGCATTGTAATCGGGAGCAAGTCACTTGGATTGAGTTATTGGGTTTTATTTGTTTTGATTGCATGCCCTATGGTAATCTAAAGTTTAGTAGATCAACACTGAAGTTTTTTCATGACTTGTTCACGCTTTCTATGCAGTGTCTGTTGCACAGATATACATGGGTGAAAAGTACACTTCTAGCGAATCTTCAGGAGACGAGAAAGACGGCGCCAAAGCATTCAATTACAAATTGTATGGAGGGATCGATTATTGCTGCCAGAACACTCATTGATTTTACTTTATAACCAGTCTGCAGCTTTGAACCGCCTTAAAGCCTCTCTACTCCTCTTTGGTGTACATTGCATGTGAGGTCTCAGCAATACCTAGCACCGACGATAACGGAAAAGATAGCTACAGAACTTGTTACGATGTCAATTGGGGACGGGGACGGATTTAGAGATAGTGAAAGAGGCAGAGACAGAGATAGGAATGGATTTAGTCGAGGAACCGGTGATGAAGGAGAGGAGAAGGCGCGAGGCTTTTGGGACAGAGACAGGGGTATGGACAGAGATGGGGATAGTTACAGAGATAGAGGTAAAGAACGGGAGAATTCTAGAGATACTGATAGAGATCGGCGTGGAGGGAATCGAGCATTTGGTGGCGATAGAGAGCAGACGAGTGGATCCCCTGTAAATAGATTTCGTCGTAGCAATGACGACGAAGGAGATAATTTGAGGAGGAGAGACGTCCATGATATTGAGAGGATGCCAATTAGCCGGAGTAGGGGTCGAGAATACGACGACGATGTGAGAAGGCCCGTGAGCAGGGATAGAGGTCGAGAATACGATGATGATTCGAGAAGGCCCGTGAGGAGGGATAGAGGCCGAGAATACGATGATGATTCGAGAAGGCCGGTGAGCAGAGATAGAGGTCGAGAATACGATGATGATTCGAGAAGGCCTGTGAGCAGGGATAGAGGTCGAGAATACGATGACGATGCGAGAAGGCCCGTGGGCAGGGATAGAGGTCGACAATACGATGACGACGAACGGATGCCACTGGGCAGGGGCAGGGGCAGAGGACAAGGTTTGGGCGATGACGAGCAGAGATCGATGGGTAGGGATAATAGGGGCCGGGAATATTATGATGATGGTGAGAGGAGGCCAATGGGCAGTGATCGTGGTCGGGGTGGAAGGGGGCGGGGTGGAAGAGGTCGAGGGGATGACAGCGGCAAACCTGCAGCGCCACCTCTTTATAGCATTCACAGAGCGACAGTGCGTTCAGTTCGACCTTTTGGCATTTTTGTTCAAATGGAGGGGTACCGAAATGATGGACTCGTACATCTTTCTCAAGTCAGCGATCATGAGGTTCATATCCTGCCACTGTCTGCAAACTTGCGAAATGCATATTTTCTAATTCTTTTTAAATATCGTAGTGAACTTACAGCAGTACAGCTAGATGGCGCGGAGAATTGTTACTTCAACCCTGGATTGGATGTTAACCCGAATGCATGACCTAGGTTGGTTCATTTGTTTCCAGGTCACCAATAGGGACGATTCCGAGGAAGCGAAAGTGAAGGCTTTGTCTTCTGTAGCTGACGAAGGGGAGCAGGTGTGGGTAAAGGTTGTGTCTGTGCAGGTGGAAGAAGATGGGAAAACAAAAATAGGATGTTCAATGAAGTACGTAAATCAGGGTAACGGGGAAGATTTGGATCCGAATAATATTCAAGCCGAAAAGAACCAGGCACGACCCTCTTGGAAGGAGCCTCAAAAGGTTAGCGCTTTTCTGGCTTAACCAACAATATGTATCAGCAATTTATTACTTGTCAGCGGGCACGTGTGCTGGTCCCAAGTGTCAGCCGTGCAGTTAAATGTACAAATTCCCCACAAGAGATGAGTCTGCTGCCAGTGATAATGTTGGAGGTTGGTGACCTCTCAAACATATGCTTTTGAAGATTGACTGTATTGATTCTTTGTTTTGCCACCCAAGTTTCGCAGGGTTGCGACTTCTTGTGCGTTATATATCAAATTCTTGCTAGTTAAACCTTGACCCTCACATCTATTGCTGTTCTTGTTTCCAGTTCAAGCTGGAAGCTGTATATAATGTGCAGTGTGAACGTTGTGGAGGTCATGGCCACTTGAAGAAAGAGTGCTACTCTTCAGGCGAGAAGTCGTACAAGCTGTTGTCGGATGACGAAGATGCTAATTTGACATCTCAAAATGTCACAAAAGGTGACGATAGATTGCCCGCGATGAGCGCAAAACCTCCCAAACCGCCAAGCGGCATTTCCACCCATCTCCTGGCCACTGGATCTGTAGGTAGAGGTCGTTCAGTTGTGCAACCAGCCTGGATGAAGCATGGAGTTGGTGTTGGGGGGCATGCTCCTCCTCCAGTAGTTGAGACTGAGCATAAGAAAGATACAACTTTACCAGATGCACCGACTACCGTTGAGGAAGCATATGCTGTAATTGCTCGTCTCAAGGAAGAGAAGCAAAGGAGGAAAGAAAAGAGGGATAAACGACACAGTTCTAAAGACGACAAGAAAGACAAGCGCGAGAAAAAGGATAAGCATAGGAAACGGCATCGCGACTCGGAAGATCATAAAGAGCGCCATAAGAGCCGTAGGAAACGTCGTGATAAATACTCAGAGGCGGAAACTGACTCAGACGATTACAAAGAGCGGAAGAAACATCGTCACGAGGAAGATTACAAAAAGAGTAAGAAGCATCGTGATGACGAGGAATCTGATGAGGATGATCGCAAGGAGCGGAAAAAACATCGCGACGAAGATGACCACAAAGAGCGCAAGAAACACCATGATGAGGACGGCCACAAAAAGAGTGACAAACATCGTGATGAGAAATTCGATGAGGAGAATCACAGGGATCTTAGTAAACATCGTGATGAGAATTCTCAGGTGCACCACGGCACTCGCGATAAGCACCACGATATGGAATATTATGAAGTGCCCCGCTAGTCTCACGATACAGCCTGATTGAAATGTATTTGCTTTGCTGAACTGTATTGCCATTTAAAGAACTATATTCAACTGGATGTTCAATCTGTAACTTGCACTCTTGCAAATTGCAGTTCATATCATTGAGCTTAGGGATATCATTTTCAGCCGCTCATGTTGGTATCCTGACTGCTACATACATCGAGAGCTACCATATGTTCATTTTGAAGCGAGTACGACCCACAAGCTTTTGGTCTACGAATTGGTTATTCTGCGATATAGTAGTCAAAAAATTAAAACCAGTGAAAATTGATGTTTACAGATTGCGATGCACAAGTGTTTTTAGCCTTGTTTTTTTTGTCTTTTATATAATCATTCAATTTTTCTTTGCAAACCACAAAGATCTAACCAGCTAGGATCAACAGTGCGTCGAAAACCGGATTCTTATACTTCGCAGTGATAATTCATTCGACTTTAGAAAAGAGACGTAAGTACTGTACTAAATAAATGAGGATGAACTGGGGAGAACTATGATTGAGACGAGGAATTGCAGCCAAACTTTCCAATGGCTGGGAGTTTCCTTGTTATAAATAACTTCCAAAAATATAATGTACAACCATTTACAAATGAATCGGCATTTTACAACCCTCGGTAGTTTATCAAAAAGGGGCTACTGTCTGCCATCGAGTTCAACAATTCGTGATCTCCTTAATTTAGCAGACCAGTAGTGGTTGAACAAACTACCTGGACTACAGCCTGCAAATTGCTTCGGCAACTTTCCAGCCACTTTCGACCTTTCAGTGATTCGAAACTCCGTCAACCAAGACAGAGGCTTCACATCCTCTTTACAACTGGCTTCAACTGGCGAGTGCAATGGCTCCTCTGCCACAGGTGGAGGTGCATCATCATGAAAGGACTGGGCACCTCCAGAATTCTCTCGAACGGGGCTTGGAAGGAGAATAGGGTTGGGGGTATGTATCACCTCCTCAGCAGGATGTGAATGAGGTGGCGTTTTATGGAAGGCTAAATCCCTGCTTCGTGGGCTGTCGGAACCCTCAGGTATAACAGCTCCTTGGGCTGTTTCTGTTTCAGGTAATCTCATGGGCACATTTGGCAGATAATCCTGGCGCCTGTCAAAGCAACTACTTAATAAGTATTCGAGATTCTCGTGTAGAGAGAGATCATAGCAAGGATAGAGGGAAAGAAGCGTATGAAGCCAAGACATTCATCAGAAAAGAGGGAGCTAGCATTGAATGCATCGCTATCGATTTATTAAGCAAACTTCAAACCAGCTACAAATTTTTTCTTGTTAAGCTAATGGATTATTGAGAAAAAATGACTGGATAATTGAGCCATCTAGCTGACAGCTTACTTATACTTGGTGCACTTTTCTGCATCTGGTAGCTGCTGGATCAGTCTAGCAATAGTTGGATTTGCATATCCAAAATATTCTGGCCCTGAAAGACGATGAAGAGCAGATGAATTGTGATCGGTGAATATATCATAATAATCAACTATTACAGAGGTTTCTAAGCTACTGAAGGCGGATTATTGCCAAAAACACAGCACTGGAACAATAGGATGAAAAGAACGGGTGAAGGTCATGCCGCACCTGAAACATTCGCGAACGTCTTCTTCCCACCCTCCTCTATTCGAAGTGCTCCCACTCGTTTTACAACCACAGTCCAAACTGCTGTTGCAGATATACCCACCACTGGATTGTTCTGATCATCCTCTGCAGTTGATCGGCAATTATCACTTCAAAACGGATATCTACAAAGATTGACAAGCGTGCGCCGTCCTAGTTGCGACCCATTCACATGAACAGGCAACGGAAAAAGCGTGAAAAGGGTTTTTTTTAAATGGAATTCTAAAAGGACATGTTTGGTTGCAAGATACAGATTTGTGCTTCAAGTTAATTGCCAGTGAGGAATTGAAAAAGAATATAAGAAGGACTCGAGAATATACCAGGAGTTAATCGAAATTCGGGAGCTTGGCCATCATCGACAATTTCACACCTGAAATATTCCACCAGAATGCAACACATGAAGACGTGATAATTACTATTTCATTTTATTTTTTAAGTTGATATTTAAAAAGTAACCCAGAAAATGACACGCAATTAAAGGAAGCTGCGGTATCTCATTTGTTTCTCACCAATAGAAAATACGATTTTCAGAATTAAGCATGCTTGCGTAAGCTCTTCGGCTTTTATACCCTGCAGGCCTGCATCATCCTCACTCAATTACTTCATCAACCTGCCACACTTTCCAGACTAAAACTACCATAAGTGTGTTAAGCAAAAGTTAGCCTTCCTTTCCACTAGATGAATCATTCTAGGTGGCTGTGTACGTGAAATATTGCGATAGATGAAGAACAAGTTTGAAATTAACTAGAAAATTTTCAGGGTTTACAACGAAAAGTTCAATGAGACATGCTGTCTACAACTAAAGGTCTCGTTTAACATCCGGTACTTACCAGATATACTTTTCACTGTGGAAGTTGGGACGGTTCCAAACTATTTTTCCCAGGTCATACACTTGAAGACTTGGCCCTAGTTTGATTGGGAACACTGGACGTCCTAATGTGTCTCGAGGCACTTCTTCACAACGGCGGCGCTTATTCACAGGTGCGAACTCTGTTGGTTTCTCTGGAGGTACTGGATGTGTTGCGATCACAGGCGCTCCTGTATGTAAGATAAACCCCACATCCATACTGAATCTACACTCGTAAAACATCTCACAATAGGTCTTACAAATACAATCATATCTAATTCCCACGCCTCGGGTAAACGCTGCTGAGGTCGTAATTATGTTCATAACTCCACTGTGCTTTAGCACAAAAGCAGATTGAACCATAACAAAGTGAGAAGGAGGAGCAGGACTAAACATATTCAAGATTAGGTGGAAAGAGCTTACTCTCTTTAAATACACTCAAGTCAGCTGCAGCAATAGCAATCGCGTGTGCAAGTTCTTCCTGCCCACGAGTCTTATCAACTGCCTGCTTAACCATGCCATCAAGCTCACGCCAGACATTTGTATACAAATCTCTTCGTGCAGAAGGCCTGATTCATACACAACATTTGAGACTATTACGCAGACCTCAACAGTCAGATAACTAAGATCAAAAGTCAATGCACATCCCAACCTCAATCACTGAACATCTCTGCATGTACTACACGAATAAAATAAAATAAAATAAATGCAGAGATGTTATTTACGTGTCCACAGTTAAAGGAAACAATGAAATGTCATTGCTTTCCGTGTGCTCCAAAAGCTTTGCAATGCACTGTAAAACAGCCACCACATATTCACAAAACGCATGAGCAAACTTGTGAACAGAAAATTGACATTGCAGGTAGGACTCGAATAACAATAAAATGTAACATGAGTTGAGTACCATCAGTTTAAAGACAAACATCAGCACCCAGGATATTAAATAAAAGAGTAGGGTCTTAAGTTAGGAGGGGCGGATAGAAGCAACGGTTACAAGATACACTACTGCTTACATAGCAAAACCAACAGCAAAAATACTGCGACATGGACATCTTTGATTGTACACCAAAAGACACGCGTTTGGAAACAAGTCGAGAAGGAGACAACCAAACCTTAGAAGCATTGTTGATACATTCAACTGGTGGATCCTCTGTTACAAATGCAATCCTGCCATTAAATCACGATGTTAAAGAAGGAGCAAATACCCATACAGTTTTCGCCACTTGAAAAGCACTAAAATGACAAGCCAGCTAAAATTTGTTTCTAATTTGATTGCATTTCGCAATGCTCTGGTCCAGAATTAAAATTCCGTAGCACAATTCTACGCTATAGACCACAAACATCACTCGCTTTACAGTAAGTGTGATAAAGAACTCCAGATATTGCAGACGACCCCTATGCTATAAAATTTGCAACTGAGTGTTCTGAAGATTTAGACTTTTGCCCATCTATAAAAAAAACACATACATAACTAGCCTAGAAAATAAAAATATGATATGAAAATAAGCCTGACCTTATTGGAGAAATTAATAATGCCAATTGTAAAAAGTAGCGTTCTGCGCTACCAACTATCGAGTCTGCGGTTGGCCCTGGAAACCATCTCGATGGCCGCTCCATCTGCTTTGATGCATGCGGGGCACTTCGTTTGTGACGCCATGTGGCCTGGATAGGACTGTTTAAAGGGACACTATCATCTGCCTCCTCTAGATTTCGTTTCTTAATAGAATGGAAGGGTTTCTCCAGATGCCCTACTCTTCGTGGAGGTGTAGTCACCACAACCTCTGGAGTTGATTGGGGAATATTCTGTCGAAATTTTTAAAATCGCATTGAGTTCTACGTTAGCGCTAGCAAATTGCTATACCTAAGAACCCGATTCGAATGTACACAAAAACTCATTTAACGACTGTTAGCTTTAAACATAAAAACTACAGGTAGCTCGGAAAAGATACTAAAATCGTTCTCTATCAGCAATGCCCTACAATAATTTTGAACGGAACAATCTGGAACATGTGTAAAGGTATGGTTATTATACACCAAGTTCTCACCTTTTGTTGTGCACCGGCTTCCCTATCCCCAAGAATCTCATCCCTTCCTTTGTAATCTGCAACAATCGCTGAACCAGAAGTCTTTTGTTCCGACCTAGTGATGGTATGCAACCAAAACCTACCATCGCGCCATGTGAAAAAATGTGTGATATTTCCTTCATCTTCTTCAAGGGAGAGGGCTATGATGAATGAGTCATTGTCATGATGCTTTAAATTTTCCCAGAGCCGAGCAGCTGGTCCTCGTTGAAATACTTCTGGAAGTGTGGGGACAATAGAAGCACACGGTAGAGCTAAGAGATGGTTTGTTGACAGGGTCGTCTTCATACAATTCAGAGATATTGTCCTGGATTCTCTGAAAAACGGAGAACCTGGATAAACGGACACCTCGTTCAAGGCTGCACAGATACAACGAACAATACGACACAGTACATGAATAAGAAAGTAGCTAGACAATAGTTAATTAAGACTTAAGGAGGCACTTCTCGTGTCTCACAACCTCATCCAATTCAAAGCTCCCCCTTCTGTACAGCAGCCAACACTCTTATGCGGTGTGTCATAAGTTTGCTATCTTGTCATACGGTAACAGCTGAGAATTTGTTCTTGTTGTGTCACGACTCAATCTTCAACTTGATACACATGGAAGCAAGGGTCCCGGCAACTACGCAATTACCTTTTACCGGCGAAAAGTTGTTTTGGCAGATCACAAGACGAAATACTGTATCCTGAGCAGCAATATGCTCGTCTTCTATCTCTCGTTCCTTCAGGGCCAAATTCTCAGCATTTTCACCGCTCGTTTCTAGAAGATACGGAAGCATGCCCTTCACAGCTATTGCGGAAAGCTCAAGATGAAAATATGCAAGATCTATAAATAGATTTGATGCATGACTAGGCAGGAGCTTGTAGTGAATTGTCGAAAGACGAACAGGAACCTGGAAAGTCGGAAAATTATTTAGCATAATTAAGTACCACGGTTCAAACTGCAAAGCCCCCAAGACTAACTCGTACAAAAATGTCAAAGAATGGATGTCTCTATTAGACAAAATCTAATCATATACACAACTAATGAGTTTATGGAGTGTCGGAGTGTACGCTTGCAGCAGCAGTTGTCATAATCGGTTTGACAGCAGAATTTGACACAGAAATATCAAGAAAAGTTGTTTCGAACTCGATCTCGGCTAGACCCACACCTGCAAGAGCTTCCTCCATGTACTTGTGATATGTATGAATTCCACCACCTGCACTACTTTTCGAAGAAAAACAGGTCTACACATTTCATGCATCTTAATACGATCTGGCAAAAAAAAAAAAAAACAAAAACAAAAAACAAAAAAAAAAAAAAAAAAAAAAAAAAAAAAAAATCGAGCAACAAATCAAACAGCATGTAATACATTCCGCACCAGGACCCACTGGGTGTTTTGCCCTAGGCATTGTCTTCGACGTTTAATAAGCCACATTAGTGCTCAAGTAGATGTGAAAAACATTTGTTACCAGAAAACCTTTTTGTTGCACAGGATATTTGGGCTATCCAAGTAGTACAGACTATTGAATCAAACTTAGGACTAAATTCCTCTACTGCTGTACTTTTACATTCACCTTGTCAGCATGAACTTTGATAGGTTACTGTTATTAGAAATTATACTGAGTTGATTTGTTGTTGAATTATTGCTGGACATATGAGTTACCATAGGTGTGAAATAAGAAGACTAAGCAATCCGTCACTACTCTGACGAAGCTGAGCATCTCTAGGTTGATTTCCAAGATGACTATAATCTGTACCTCTAAAAGCTGTTGATAGTCAGGAATTTTGACCCGATTTGCGAACAGCTTTTGGAGATGGCTTTGCCTACTCACGTCAGGTAATTATGGACCACAAATATGAATCAGAAAACAATGCCACATCCGTAGAGCTGCCCAGACCAGTAGAGGAGCTGACGCACTTGAAGGACCCGGGTAAAGCAGAATTGGTAATCTGAAGTTCAATAATCTGGAAAAGAAGAGTTCAGTTGTCATAAAAACTCACTTCTATTCAAACATCACGTGATGTACTTAAAATGGTTCTTATTTTATCTCTGAAGGAAGACCCCAATAGAAGCAAAAAAAAAAAATCAACCCTAAGGGTCGCAATAGAGCTGTTGATGATATTCATTGTCTTAAAAATTCTGTGATGTAGACTCTCGACACTTGGGGAGTTGCACGGCGACTAGTTACGCTAAACTATGATATGTTCAACGCTTCCTTCGATGTGGAAATTAATAAAGAAGAAGCTTCACAAAACATACGGATAAGGCAGATTAAGTAATTAGAATAGCCTTACAACACTCTGCCTACAATTTTGCTTGCTCTTATGTCAGCATGTAATTGATAACAATGTCCAAAAAAATGAGGTTCTAAGACTCACGAATCTTGCGGCAGTATGACCAACAGCCTTGAGCGCAGCATGGCAGAAGCTTCCCAGCCATACATTGGGTTCGGTTTATTGGCTGAATTCATGTCTGCTACAGAGCTGCCGGTCGTTTTATAGAGAAACTGAGCAACTTCCATCAGTGTATGTTTAATGTTGAACCCAACATCTCCTTCAACGGCCTTCCAATCTGCAAGTCCTTGCACAATCTATACAAGAGAAACCAACGACACCTAATAAATTTAATTTGAAAATTAATACACAGAAAAGAAGCATAAACCTCACTCCTTAAACAGCATAAAAGTACAATCAAAGCGCTCACAAGACATTGAACGAGTATCAAACACAAAATGAACGGGCTTACAGCCAAGGAAGAAGATAAAAGGTAAAACTCCACCAACTGACAAGCAACTTTTAGATCCAAACGTCCATTGAATCCTTTCAACACTCTGCAAACCTTGTGAGGAACTGAAAAGATATTCTTTGAAGTAAACAGCTTACAGCTTCAACTGATTGTTGACCTGGATCCCAGCTTGTAACAGTATGAACTTTTCGTCCGGCAGCTGCAAGGGTAGATAACTGAGCACAATAACCAATTTCAATTCCATGTTAAGAGTGTGTTAAAGAGGCATCACCATTTCGTATAAAGCCCCCCCGCCCCCCAAATTTTGTATGCATGTATGTATATACATGTTCACACACACACAAATACGTTGACAAAATACTTGATTGATAAATGAGATTGCCAGAGCGTCTATTTTATCTGGTACCTTGCCCGAACGAGGTTGAGCAAAAAATAAGCGTACATAGGATAGCAATCCTTCAACACACTCGGGTTGCAAAGTGACGCCTCCAGCTGACCCTGCACGTTGAAATATTTCAATCAAATTAACATATCCTCAAACATGTGAGGCAAAGGCAGCCTAAACATCTGGCTGTTTGATACGACACCACGAACAACTTCGTAAGAGGCAAGGTGTGTCAATGAAATTTTTGACACGTACAAACACACACACACACACACACACACAATAAACAAACGAACAAAAAAAATCATCACAACTTTGTATCTGTAGAGAAACTGTGCATCAAACTTTACAAACCTATTAGTGCATGGGAAATATGTTTTTGAGAAATAGTACACAGGAACGTGCAAAAAAGTGAAGAGAAATTGCGACAAACATCGACGTGGAATTCAAGACGTGCAGAAAGTACCAGAATGTAACACAAGAAGCAATGTTCGTGCAACAGGTCCCTTCATTCCCGCTTTCTCTGCCATTTCCGCAACCCCATGCAACAAATTCTAATCCTGTTCCTCCAAAACAAAGGAAAAAAATTCAATTAAATAAAACACCACGATTCCAGACCTACATTATTATTCCACAACTGCCACACGAATTCACACCAGCTATCCCACCGTCCTCCCAGAATCGAAATCCAGATTTTACCATGCCTCGATTCCCATGCCCTGGCGACCTAATTCAAACACACTCACAGGAAGCCGCAATTCTTCTCGACAAACACACACCAAACCCCATCCGCCTCGAAACTTCCTTCTACACTCTAAAATTAAAAAAATATACATCCAATACTAAAATCGAACCAAATAACTTATTAAACAAACGTCGCCAATCGCACCTCCGGCAACCAACCGTTCGCTCCTCCAAACCCCGAAGATTCACGAACTAACTACAATCCCTTGATACTAACTCCCGCACCTGGAAAAAACCAAGAATAAGGGGAAAAAAAAAAAAAAAAAAAAAAAAAACGCAAGATGAGAACAAAATCTGACACAACCGAGGCGTGGCCTGTAGCTCACGAGTAGTGGCCGCGGCGTTTGGGGAATGACGACGTCGGAGGCGCGAGCATCCATGGCCATGGCCGCCATAGCCAGTGGAATAGAAGAGGAGGACGGGGGGGCTTTGCCTGCTCTCTGTGCCGTAGTAGTAGGTACACCACCTCAGCCTCCACTTACTACTTACTAATATCGGTTCTCTCGTAAGAGCATCTTACTACTCACTAATCCTCCTTTAATAATGTAACCCTCGATTTAGTATTACCGCCCGACTGTGCAATAATTCTGCTCTAGCATATATGAAAAGTTGTATGTGTTTGATTTTGCAAAAAGTATTCCACGCATTGCAGGTATGATAGACATACAAATGAATAAATCATAACATTATGGTACTATTATATAATATTAATAATAACATGTGGTTACTATTCAAGCGATTGAATTGGGGTTCACCAGGTTGGAAAAGAGGAAATCAAAATCTGCCCTTCTGAAGTATTGCATTTGTAAAAAATATATTTCTTAATTATTATTTGAACATTTTAAAAATAAATAAATAAATAAATAGCATGTAGGTCATGGATGAAAATATGATGTTGAGAAGCAATATTTTGAATCAACATGTGCTGTTAATTCTCATTCTTTTTAGTTGAAATGTGCTTAGTGTAGATGATTTATGTTTAAATTTTCTTGACAAAAATCTCATAAAATATAGATGTTTTCAAAACTATCACATAAACAATTGTTCTTGCAGTTTTGTCTATTGCAAAATAGGGAATGCATGCATGTCTACAAAATATTTGGTTTCTGTAGGTCAGTTGTTGTTGTTTTAAGGTTGTGAAGATAAAATTTGATTTATATAAAGGTTCAAGAAAGATTTATGGCTTTCAAAGGCAAAATCGGCATTGTGTAAACAGAACATGTGAACTACATATATATATATATATATATATATATATGAAATCTCAAGGTACAAAAAAGTAACAAATCAATTTTTTTCCAGGATTTATTCATTTTTAAGTAGCAAAGTGATTTAAACTATGATAAACCTTGACTTTTAAATTTCGATAAATAATATCAAAAAGATATTTTAAATTATACTTGGCTCAATAGAAATCTACTGCTCCAGCAGAACAATTACAAGGTTAATGTAATGTAATCTATATATGTTGATGCTAAAAAACAATAATCCATGAATTCCTTATTAGGACTCTATTGGTAAATACAACAACCTAACATCTAGCTTTTCAACAGCAAAGCGTGGATGTAACAATCTAGCTCTTGAGACTGACACGTTCCGGAAAGTCGACCTAAGACCGCGGAGTTCGTAGACGACTTAGACGACGACGACGTCAACGATATAACGGGCTCGTCTCGTGCTCGTCGCTCGCATCGCGGTACTTAAATCCCAAACCCTAATTCTGGAAAAAGACAAGCGCTGCTCACCTGGTGGAACTGTCGGTAGTGTTCCCCGAGGCCAGCCTGGATTCTCTGCTCCTGTTCGTATTCGGGCGGGAAAGGGCTGTTTGTACACCCCCTTGCAGCAATCCCGGTGGAGCCAATCGAGATTCGTGTCCCTTCGCGTTGGCTACCTCGGTCGATATTTCGAGGTCTTCATTGGTCAGTGGGGGGATCGGAGCTGCGGGTATATGTCAGGCTACACCGATTTTCGTATGGTACGGGGTTGGTACCGACAGACGACGATTTACTCGATCAACGTGTGGAATCCGCACTTTCCTGCAGCACTGCAGTTCGTCGAACTCGCTTCATTCATTCACTTCGGTAGCGTGCGTGCGTGTCTGATTTTAATACGAGGTATTAGGTAATGTAATTCGGGTTGTACTTTTATCGACTATATATTGTAGGAGAGTTATTAAATGTTTATTTTGCAGAAGGAACAGTATTTCACGAAATGCACACTGAAATATTGTTTGATCGTGTAAGTTTCTCTAAAACCACTGAGATCAATGTCATTAAATGATATTATTTTGGGCGCTACAGGGACTGTTTGATAGTCTACGAGCACGTGCAGCTTTTTCATAATTTCTGAGTTAAACCACATACTTGGAACCTTCAAATGAAAAGTTGTGATTCTTTCAATTGTTTTTATTTTATTTTTTATTTTAATGTGAGAATCAATTGATGGATGTTTCGATTACTTCCTTCATTATAATTTCCGTAAATAGACAACGGTCCTTGGAATGTACATCTCCACCGTGATCACCTTCCTTTCAGCAATTCGAAACAGAATTTGTGGCAAACAATGGCTAGAAACTGCCTCAGCTCCTTCGTTCTGGCTCGTTGGACTTGTGTGGTAAAGTCTGCGTCCCAGCTGATCGGCAGAAATTCGGCGCGCCAAACGCTTAATACAAACATAAATGAGCACCTTTAGGTGAACGCCGCCGAGGTCAACCTAAGCATGAACGCTCAGACTCTCAAGTGATCTCACACACAAACACACATACACCAATCCGTGGGTGTCGACGTGCAGGAAGTGGCGACGCGCTTCTTCCTACTCGGAGCAAAACAAACATCGTCCGCGAGTATCGCACAGAATAATGACATGAAGCATCGATCGCGAGTACTGCACACAAGACTCTTCGAATATGCACAAGAAGAGTTTCTGGACCGTGATTCAGACAGACCATACACAAGCGGGCCGAGAGATGCACACGAAATTCCACCACCAGGTTCATGGAACAACACCCAGCAATGCTGGTGTCGAAACAAGGTGTGTTCAGATCTCTGACTCACAACTCGGGGAGCCTTGATTGCGGTCGCGATTGCAGAAAAATCAGAGTGCGAGCTCGTGGCTTCAGCGCCGACAATCCCAGATTGCTCGTGACGTGGATCTGTGTCGCTGACCTTGCTGAAACTTGCGGCGCCGGGCTTGGCTTCGGATTCCGAACGATACTAGCCATTATGCGTATCAAATCTACGGTGAATTTGTATGTAGTAGAACGGATTCAGTCGGTGACTGATGCTTCCGACTTTCGCAAGCTTCGATCGTCGAGACTCGTTTTACGGCAGATCTGGTTTCTATTGACAGCCCTTCAGATGAAATCCTTTTCGGATGAAGTGTTTGTGGATGAACGGAAACGAGTCTTTTCTGAAAGCTTTTTTTTTGTTTTCCCATGTCTGTCTGTATAATCATAATTGTTGTTTATTTATTTTTCAAGTGAATTTATTATTTGGAATTTATTTTCATATGCGCTTTTAATCTTTAGTTTTTTAACTATTATTATTATTATTATTATTTAGCTTCTTTAAAGTTTGTGGCTTGTTACTGGTAGCAAAAATTGACATTAAACATTAAGCTAATATATTAAAATTGTAATAGTGATTTAAAAATAAAAATAAAAATACGGAAAATAATATTATGTAATTAAAATATTATTTCTACAATATATTTGATCAAATTATACTTTTCGAAATGTAATCTAAAAATTGATACTATTTATTCTAAATAATTATTTTTTACAAAACATATTACATTAAATTTATTTCAAAATAAAAATAAAAATAAACAGTTGTAGGATCATTATGATATTAATGATAGAATATGCCAGTAAATTTAATAAAATAATTAGGGAGCCACCCTACAATTATCACATCATTACAATATTTTTTCCAATAATTTTTGTTAAATGTATTTTTGTTAAAAAGATGAAAACCGATATTCAATTTAAACATAAAATGACGTTGCATAATTTCAAAACATGAAAAGTAACATATACAATATACTAATTAAATTTGAAAATTGTTGATTTTGAACGAATAAATTGAGTTTTCAATAAACTATGCAAATAATATATATTTTCATTTTAATTATAAGATTTGCCAATTAAATTTATTCATCGATTTCATTATATTGAAATTTATGCAAGGTCTTGTAAAAATATCACTTTCACAAGCTAATCATTTTCCTTTTGAAGTAACATTTATCAAGTGAGTGTAGGTTTATGAATGGTTTTGATTGTAAAAGATGCATGCTTTACGTTTGCAACTTTATTAATCGTATACTTTTCATTTTTCTCTATGACTACTATTAACATCAACTTATAAATGCAAATATGCAAGTACTATAAAATCTCTAAATGATTCATTTGAGCAATTCTTTTCAAATAAGGGTTGGTTGAATTAGAAACAAAAAAAATGTATGATTTTTTAATGGTTCCACTTTAAAATATTGAATTCAAACATCAATATAAGGAATGGAATATCCATCAAATTCAATTCAAAAGGAACAAAATGTCCAACTTCAGCAAGCAGAAATTCAAAAAAATCCCATGACAAATCTCGTTGAAGTGCCCCAAAACAATCAAAGTCCTCTATTACAAGAATTAATCTTGCAAGCAATTTCGAAAAATCATGCAGATATGTTCCAAAATCACCAAAAACAACAAGCAATTCAATTGCAACAACGGCAATTGCAAAATTTAATGTCAAAATCAATAGAAAGATGCAAAGATCGTCATAACTCCCAACATCAATTGGATTTATCAAGGAAAAATTCTCAAACAAATCCAATTAATATGAATGAAACTGACATTCAAAACATGTTTAATGTTCCACAAAACATACAGAATAGCAATGACACAATCCTTGAAATTACAGATTTTTCTATTGATAGAAATTATAGTGCAAACAATTCACAAGAAAATGAGAATTATGGTAAATCGAAATCATATCCAACAACTTCCTCACAAAATACCTCTGATAGGTTTTTTAAATCAAAAAGCGCAGTTGATAATAATAATAATAATAATAATAATCATAATGATGATATTTACAATATGAATGGATGTTTAAATTCTAAAAACAACAACAACAACTACAATTCTATGCCTCATGATCAAAATGTAGTTAGTGGCACAAATAATCCTCCTAATGTTTCATATCACCTTCAAAGACCATCTTTTCCAACAAATGATATGAATAATTTTAACGAATCCCTTGAAGTTTTTACACCAATTAACAATTCAAACTTTCATCAACAAAATATATTCATGCCTAATTTAAACACTAGTGATGTATCCAACACAATGTCAAATTTTCAAGATATTCCTCAACTAAAACAACAACTAAACTCTAATCATGGGTTCCATAACCATCAAATTCTTACGCATAACATGTATAATGTTACACAAGATCAAAGATTAGACCTTAATCAAAATCCTAATCATGGATTTTATAATCATCAAATCCTTACACATAACATGCAAAATGTTACACAAGAACAAAGATTAGACCTTCATCAAAATTTCAAAAGAAGTAACAATCCTACATCAAGTTGTCAAAGTGCTTCTCAAGAACAAGATATAGTAAGGAATCTAAGTCCCGAAAGAATTTGTAAATGTTCCTACATTCCTCAAGAAGGGATCCATGAACAAAGAAGTTTTTGTACAAGTGTTAGTCCCAACATGTCTAATTTACATGAAAACAATTCTCAAAGCTATTTTCAAGAAAACCCTTCTTTCAACTTAAAAAACTTGCAAAATATGACAATTGTTGAGTCTCCAAATAACCTTCAAGCAAATTCTCCTACACTCACAAATTCATTACAATGTACTTCAAATGAAATCCCAAATCCTATTGGAAAATGTTCTCAAGGTTTGTTACCTATAGTAAATATTAATTTTTCTCCTATTTTGTACAATTCACCTTCAATTTTGCCAACTACTCCAAATTGTGAAAGTGAAGCTTATGAATTGTGTACTCCAATGAATATATTAAATCCTAAGTCCTTTGAAAATATTGATTTTTCTAGTGTTGATAGTAAATATTCTAATTCGAATTTGGACCAAAATGATATTATGCAAAATTATAAAACTTGTGGAAGTCAAATTACATCAAGTCAACAACATGATAATTTGCAAATCTCAAATAATTCAATGCCTCAACCAAGTAACTATAAAAAAAATAATATGATAGTGCAAACCAAAATTTTAAAAGATCAAGGTTGTGATGTTCTTGAATATGATGTTCGAAATTCACTTACAAATATGCATGCAAAGATTCAAAACTTAGAGTTGAGCCAATCACAAACTTGTCAAAGTTGTTTTCAAAATGTACAAGTTCCTACAACAAATGGCCCCATATGGATACAAAATACAATTCTAATTCCATCGCAAAAGTTTGGTTGCCACAACATAACTTCTTTGGTATGTATTGTGTTTTCTTTTTAATCATGTTTTAGAAGTTTGAAAATGAATTGTCATCTTCATGTGATCCTAAATAATATGTAAACCAATACAATACATATTCAAAATTTAGTGATTTCCAAGAAATAATTAATTAATAGAAATTATAGTATGTGAATCTAATTTTATAACTTCAATTTTTTTTACTTATCATAATTATGTTACTAAATTACGTGTAATATTTTACAAAGTATTAAAAAAATAATAAAATAAAATACTATAAATATTTTATGTAACATTTTATATAAAAAATAAAATATATTACAACCTTTAATAGATGTAAGAAAAAAAAATTAAAAATTAAAAGTTAAAAAAGACTTAATAAATTAAATTACCTTCATGTATTTCATTTATTCTCACAACTTTTAATATTTCAAATTATTTTGTAATTTTTTATATTAAAACATATAAAAATTTAATAGATTATATAGTTTATTTTTATTTTTATTTTTGACACTGTAAATACTTACAAATACATAGTTACACAAATGCAGAAAAAAAAATTATTTATTTTTATGTCGTTACATATATATATATATATATATATTGAAATAACAGTAGATTTTTTTTCCTATTGACATTATTTTAATTTTAGTTTTGGTGCATCTTGCATTGATAGCTTTTGCAACATCTCAAAACGGACTTATCGACTTTCAAATGTGGTCTTGCACATATATATTGTAAGTAACTTGATGTTTATTTTAAATATACTATTCTGTAAATCAATACACGGTTTACTTGGGATATGAATGTTTCAAATAAGTTACAATAAGTATATTTTTATGAAAGTATATAATACTTATTGAACTTGTGTTTGATGACCAAAAAAAAAAAAAAATAAAACAGCTCAAAGTGCAAATGCATCATTGACCATTATTGAAGATTGTGATCCAAGAGCTTTTGAAGACTTTGAAATATATTTAGATATGTCTGCATCCATAGTAAGACAAAGCTCAGTACAATTAATTCTTTTTCTAGAATGTGGATATTAAATTACACTTTGAAATTATCAATGAAGAATAAATGTATAAGATCTTGCCTTCTTTTATATATATATATATATATATATACACACACACACACATTTTAATTACGTAATTTGTTCAATATGTTGTAAACTTTGATTTTGTGATAACAATCAAGCAATGAACCACATTTACATATAAATAAAAAGCAACGAAAATTATTCTAATGGTGATAAAATTATTCATGATGCTATTGTATTTCATAAACTTTTGAACATGTTTTTGGTGGTCATTTCAGAAAAGAACATCATCTTCAAGAAACAGAAGGGAAGGTTCTATATTTATCACCCATTTTGTGTATTATTTGGGCTTGTTTGGCCTACTTTTTGTTATTGTAAATTCTCCATTTATTTTGCATCAAAGATGAAGACAATAATTCTACAAATTCTACAAATCATTCTTCCGCGCAACAAAAGAACCCATAACTTGAAACTCAGCTCTTATTGAACCCTTTTATTTTTTCTTATTTTCAGATGAAATTTTGCCGCACATCAAAACAAAGCTTCTAGGATGTTCCCTTGTGTAGGTGCCTTAACAATACCTTTCAAAAATCATCATATTTCCTTATAAAACTTATTCACTTATTCAACCACATAATTTCTTATTTAACAATTCAAGTTTTGGAGTATAAATTCTTAAATAATTGGGGTCTCCAAAATTGACATTCATCTAATTCTAACTCGACAATGTGCAAGACAATAACATTTTAATTACTCTTTTCTCTATAACTAAATACTATATATATATATATATATATATATATATATTACACTTAAACAATGACTAAAATAAAAATAAATAAACTAAACGTATGTTTTTTTGAGCCTTGGATGCAGAATCCCCATTACGGATGGATGTTTGAGTTTAGGAAAATGGCAAGTAAGAATTGTACACAATGGTATGCAATTGTTTAAGTTCCCATTGTGTTCCCATTCAATCCACCTCCCATTAGTTTGATTCTTTTCTATGTTCTCCATTTCGTTCCCTAAGTTGTTTTTCAACTTAAAGCCTTGTTGTGTCACTCACAAAATAATATGTTTGTTATTTATTTATTTATTTATTTTTTCTTCATTTGCAGGCCATTTGCTTGTGTGAGCATCAATATCATGAAGATGGCCACCAAATTGTTGTCACTTTGAATGGAATTTAAAATTAAATAAAATTAAATAAAAAAATAAAACACACATGTAAATTGTTCTCCTTTAAAGGTTTAGAGGCAACCATAAAGTGTGTTAAATTTTGTTTTTGTTTTTTCTTTTCTATGTTGTATACAATAGAACGCTTTTTCTCACACATATATCAAGCTCATGGAATTCACAATAGTTTTAAAGTTAAAAGTGGATGAAGAGAACACTTTAAAGTTTTGTTGGAGACTTTTAGGTGGAGCAAGAGAAAGGCTTTGCTCATATGAAGCCCATTTTGGTGGTGGATGAGGGTAGACATATTGGATGAAAAATCAACCAATGGATGAGAATTGGTGCAGATGACCATGGTCCTTGGAAGGGGGGTTTTATTTTATTTTATTAATTTATTTTGCATTGTAACCTACTACACTTACTGATAATAAATTCATCTTATCCTTTATTTTATTATTTTATTATTTTTTTCATGTAAAACACATGGAGTGAAAATATTCAAAGACTTAAAGTGATTAAACAAAGTTAAAAAGAAGAAGCTTCTAAAGCAATAGATGTTTGAACTTTGATTAGAACCTTTGTATTATTTTATTGAAACTACATTAAGAATAATCACAAGACACTTCTAAAATGCGACATTCACTTCACAACTCAAGCAAATTTACCAAAATTCTCCACGTCACACTTCTTCATCCATATAATTCATCCATACATGGATGAGACCCATGGAGAAGGTAGTATATTGTATCCATTCCACAACAAAAAAAAAAAAAAACACATTTTATATGTGCAGAATCCATACTTTAAGCTCAATTTTGTGAGGCTTCGCTACAAAAAGAAAATAAATTGAAGAAAGAAAAAAGAAAGTAAAAAAGGAAGAAAAAAACTAGAGTCCACGTGAAATATGTTTCATGATTTGGCACAAACTAGTTTGAAGCAAAATCGATGTCGGAGGATACCCATCAGCTGCGCCCAAGCTCAAACAATGGAATCTTCGTTTTAATTGCGAAAAAATTCCAAATGACTTACGGCGACGGCGCCATTTTCTGATGCGCCGAAGCCTACAAATTGCCCACAATCCACATTAGAACGGGCAGTTTTTTTTTTTTTTTTTTTTTTTTTTTTTTTTTGTTTCGGCGGATTTGCACCTAGCTAGGATTCGTGGTGCATATTTGCATATGTATAGCACATTATTTGACGGAGGAGGAGCTTCTTATGAGGCACTGATGCGCATTGGTGCTGATACGCATCGTCGGAAGTCTGTTTTTGACGTGATCTTGATGCGTGTTGGGTTGTTGTATATATACATGTACATAAAAGTATATTTTTCCTTGATTGAGCGTTTGTAGTATGGGAGATTGCGACGTCGGCTAGTTTGTGGGTTTTGCTTGGATTAGCTGTATTGGGTTGGAAGAGCATCTGTCCGTGGCGGAGCATCGTTGGTAGGAGATTGGCAGCTCGGGCTTCTGGATAGGTACGAGATGGGCTGCCAATGGAAGCTCGAAGTTGGGTTTGTTGAGTTGATTTCGGCGGGTTATGAGAGAGCGTTATGAAGTGATGAGTTTTTGGGTCGTAGATCCTGGACATTGAAACGTTTGAGAATTTGTATTTTGTTTGTTGCCGGTGCATTGCTCACGTGCATCATTCACACAACATCGAACTGATGATGCGTAAGGATTTTTTATTTTTATTTTTACTATTTTTTTTGTCTTTGTTTTTTCAGCTTACAACATGTCCGTCACCGCTTTCTTCGACCGTGTTTTTCATGATGCATAGAGCGTGCGTTGTGGGTGTAATACAGCTGCCTGTTGCGTCTCAAGCAGGGAAGGCTCGCGAGTGTGATCAACATGAAGAGATTAATGGGGATTCTCCTTCATATGAAAACCTTGATGCCAGGACGACGACGTGAGCCTTTGCTGCTGCACAGGCAATTTGGTCGGGGTTGCTGCTCTTCAGATCGTTGGAGCGTGAGTTACTTGTAAGTTGGAACTGTCTATCATATCCTGCCTTTGCCGGTTGAAATCCATACACTTGAATCCCTTTTCAAAAAAAAACGTTATAATGAAGCTTAATTTTTTCAATTCTAGAGAGAATTTTAGACGGAGCATTGTAAACAGGAATCTGGTGAATAATGAGGATGCAATTTGGAAGAATTTCTGGGGTGGATGATTAAAGGGCTCATTTGACCGTCTATCTTTACAGACGAGATTTCAATGTGGCTCCTTGGCTGTAACAAATCTAAGCATCATTTACAATGTCATGGACAGATGACCTTTAAGATTCATTCGAAGCACTTGTGAGTTTGTTCTTACATGGAGCGTTTTTAGGTCATGAGTGCTGCTCAATGTGGTCTGGATGGATTCTTTCCTACATTTCACGCTCTTCACAGCTCATGTGTTGTTTGGATCACTTGTCGATTGCAGATGGAATTCATTCGTTATGAAATTCCAAGCGCGATTAGATTACTCGGTCCAAGTGGCTGGACCACTGTACATTTTGCTTGCCTTTTCTCTCATCAGGTAACTTGGTCTAGTTCCAGTTTGATCGTAATCCTGTATTTCATTTGTGAAGAAATTAATGTATAAATGGTTGACGCCTGTTGTAGCTCATAGTCCTTATGGAGTCTTTGACGGAGACAGAAGCGGTTGAAGTGGGTTCAGAAGAGGTTACGTATACCAATTTATAAAAATATCATTTGTATCAATTTATTGTATGGCACAGCTCCAGGGCCATATCGATGCTAATTACCATCTTAATTTTTTTTGCAGTTCTGTCATCTATCTGTTCTTGGTATCTATTCTTCCAGCTGTTTATCCTCTCTCTTCTTGGCAAGGAATTGCCCACCTCTTGGTAGCAGGATGGCTAGCGTTTAATGTCTTCTTTAACTACTTTTGTTGCATTTGCACCGACCCTGGCAGTTCTCCAATTATTTCTGTGCGTCCTCAACTCCTCTCCACATTTTTAGGATATTACACTCTCTTTATTCAGTTCTTAGCATTGGAATTGTGAATGGGAGGGACTGATATCTAAGACTGTGATTTTCTTAGGATACAGTGATGCCCTTGGCCAGGTACGAGATGGACTTGGAAGGTGCAGATTATGCTCCTTCCAGATGGTGCAAACGTTGTGAGCATTCCAAACCACGGCTCCCTTAGTAAAGTTGGCTTTTAGGTCCAGAGGATCTGGCTTTTTCTGTGTTAGTTAAGCGGAATGATTTGAACTGTGATCCCAAGGCCAAATCATCCCCACATGTATTGGACAGTAAAAACTAGATGTTGAACCAAGTTGTGTCAGTGTATCTGTTCTTGCAGTTTCTTGAATAGTTTGGTGTGAGCTACTTAGATTGTCTGAGTCACAACCCTATATCCTTCTTACAGTCGCACAACATGCTTTGTTTTGTTCGAAGATGCGCTGATGGTTTTGTATTTATGCCATGCAACAGGTCGTAAGCCAAAGCCTCCAATGACTCACCACTGCCATATTTGTAAAAGGTCAAGCACTTGATTACTTCTTACCTTTTGTCCTGCCTTTGGTTTGTTTGCACAATAGGAGATGTTTCAGAAGTCCCAGTTGCCCGTCTTGCAATCATTTCTTCGAAGTTATATGTAATATTTGTGCTCCTTGATTATTTGTAAGTACAAAATGACTTCAACAGAATTGGTGAGTGCAATAACTTGTGTGTGATACGCAAATGCTGATGTTTGTATGTTTAGCAGATGCATTCTCAAGATGGACCATCATTGCCGTATCCTTGCTGCAAGTCACTCCTTTTCGTGAGATTCTGTAGTTATGTTGCACATTAAGAAAGTAAAAGAAGCTTTATAGTGTGTATCAATTCGTAGTGCTCACTTTGTCAACGAATTTGCTGCTTTGGATAGAGAAATGTCCACTTGTGCATTATCTTGGATATATCCTTGTGCAATACCTTGACAAATGTGACTAGCATGGATGCACAACTGCATTGGATATTATAATTATCGGTTCTTCTTTGTATTTTGTGAGCACTCTTCACCTAAACTTTCTCCAGTAGCGCTGATCAACGCACATACCGGATGACAAACGATTATAGAAGTTTGTGCATTCAAGCAATCTTGTCTTTAGCTCAACTTTACAGATTGTAATTAGATGATGTTGATGTTGGTCAATGGATGTAATGTTTGTGTTTAATCAGTTCTCGGGTTTGTGATTGCTTTCAAATTGACTTGGGCGACATTTTAGTGCAAGACGATATACTTATTCAATGAATTTTTGTCTGTATTAGTACTGTATATGTGGGCAGGTTGCCTTTACGCAGCAGTGATGTCTTCCCTGCCCATGTTTGGCCCCGAAGACGAAGTACGTAACTATCAACTTCTGTTTATTTTCAACCCCGCGAAATGATGCATTGTGATTTCTAATTGCATTAACAGGGCAAAAATACATGGTTGAAATTGAGATACTGAATTGTCAACCTTCATTAGAAGACATTGTGCTCAAGTATAAGGCACGTAGTCGGTACAAAAGCACTTCAACCTATTGAATGAATGCTGTCTTGATTTTGTTCCCTAACACTGCTGAACGTTTTCAAAATTCAGGACGATGGTGAGGAAAATGGCGTGGGCATACTATTCACATTCATACTTTCTGTGGCAGTCTTAATTTCACTTACTTTCCTTCTAGGTTGGCATATTTATCTTGTCCTTACTGCTCAGGTATGCTACTGAGACTCTTTTTCTTCAGAGCTTTTCTAGATTTGTCAGTGCGTTTCAATCGCCTGCATCCCACCTCGATCGACAGGTGCTGTCTTTCTTACTGGGCTTCTAGTATGTTTCCATTTATGTTTCCATTTGTGAACAGACGACCATAGACTTTTATGGGAATCGGCAGCGACGGAAGGAGGCACGTGCCAATGGAGAGGTACGATAGAATATGTTGATAGCATAAATCAGGGCGACAGAAAATGGCCTGAATTGATAACAGTTATAACTAATGCTATACATTCCAGATGCATTAGGTCAAGTTAAATCTTTCTTGAAATTTCAGTTTCAGTTTCAGTTTCAGTTTTTTTTTTTGAATTTTGAATTTTGAATTTTGTATTCAGCATACTGATTCATGTGTCCTTTCATTGCTTTTAGTCTTGGACCAATGTATACGACCTCGGAAAGCTTCAAAACCTGCGCCAAGTTACGGACGTTGGAGGTAGTTACTGGTGGCTATGGCTGTTACTCCCAACTCGAGCCCTACCAAAAGGAGATGGTGTGCATTTCCCATTGAAGGAAAACCCCTTCCAGCCCATGCATTCTACTCAGCTGGGGCTACCATTGTGTGAAAATTTGAGTCCCTCTGCTGATGCTGGTAGTTTAAGGAGCCATCTTGTCTCTGATAGTAGTAGTAGTTTGAGAGAGATGACATCAAATGACTGGAATGCAACTGACAGGTTGTAATCGTTGTGTTTTGCTGAAGGTTGTAACTGCCACTTCCATAAAAAGCTATTACCAATTCGATACAACGCACTGGCAGTGGCGCAGGGTCTGAGATTTCTACGTTATTTTTGTTCTTATACTTTATTGAACTCTAATTCACTAAAACAATTTCTAAATAGATATTATCCTTGTTTGACCGATTACGGGACTATTTTAGAATGATTGCTTCTTATGAAGATACATTCTATACAGAAAAGTCGTTATATACAAACCATGATTTATACCCAATTGCTTGAGCATGAAGAATGTCTTGGGCTCTATCAATCCTTCACTTCTCACAACAGCTTGTCCTATGATCCTGTTCATACCATCATTTATACAACAATTTGTTGTAAAACATAAGAATTGGAGTTTTTAAATGAAAGTATAACTGAAGCACTCGTTCTATTGTGAAGAGAACTTTTTATTTAGGCAAAGAGGATGAAGACTGGGTCCTTTAGTAGATCATTCTGGCCAAAGCTGTCAAGTTTAGGTGGTCTTAAAATATCCTAGTTCTTGCTTTTACTAATACTTTGTTGCAAATGACTTTCTTTTATAAAATGTAAGAGAATCTTGTGTTAAGTTGATAAAAAGATGGTGAAGTCAAACATTTTATTGAGTGTTTTAAAGTTAAGTTTGATGTGAATAAAATTTTAAACAATAACTTATTAATCATATTTTTTTCAATTATTAGGTTATTTAAAAGAATATGTTATTTTTTGAAATATTACATGATAATTACATATTCTAAATAAGTGTGAGTATGAAAATTTTAAATGGTATTTTCTTTTGAAAAAAATATATTACTAAATACAAATTGATCCATTATCTTTTTTAAAAATTATATTACTAAATATAAATTGATCCATTATCTTTTTTAAAAATTATATTACTAATTATACATTTATCCATAATTAAAATCACTCAACATGCTTAAATAAGCACATTGTGTTTAGTAAAAAAAAATTAAAAAGATAAATTTAAGAACCAAAGTTTCATAAATTGCATCTCTCATTCTATTCTTTGGTGTCTTATATTAGTGATTCAATTTCAATTTTTAACAATATAAGATTTTAATTTGCTATTAATTTTTTTTTGTATGTAATAATTGTAGTGCAAAGTAATAATATCATGAAAAGAAAAATTGACTTAATTAAGCATCTTAGATTATATTAATAATTAAGTATTTTAAAAATATATTTTGATATTTTAAATAAAATTAATATGGCTATGTCGATTCTTGTATCTTCTTCTTGAACCTTATATAAAGTATATTTGACAAATGAGTAAAGACAAATATCTACACAAAAAACATTAATAGATTAAAGTTCTTATGAATATAATGTTAGAATCCTATAATACACAATGGCTTGTACTCATTTAATTAATTAATTAATATTAATATTATTTTTAATTAGTTTTTGCACATTATATTTATTTAACAATTGACTTGTTTAGTTTATATCTAAATTAGCTTAAATATATTAAATAGGAATGAAGAAGCTTTCAATATTTTTATTAAACCATATAATACAAAGTCATTTAGAGAAGCAATTATTTTTATCCATTCTGATTATTAGTTTGTTGTTCTCTCTCCTCTTATTTATAAATAAATGACAAAAAGAAAAAAAAATTATTTGAACTTAAAATTTGTGACTCAAGAAATTGGTTGCTTCTCCCAACTTTTCAACACAATTGTTTTGTAATAACGAATCACAAACAATTTAAGGTAAGAATCCTAAATTTTATAATTTTTGAAATCAAATGAACCTCTACTTTTATTTTTCAAAAAAATTAATAAAAATTACAATATTTAAACATAAGTATATTTTAACATCCATTAAGACAATAAAGAAAAGAGATCAAAAAATAAATTCACAAGAAAAGAAAACCAGATTTAATAAATAAATAAATCAAAGACAATATTTGGATTGCTTCAAAAGTTATATCAACAAAATTAAAGAATATCTTGCATTACCTTTTTATCCATACTATACAAGCTAGATCACATAATGGGTTCTAGAAAAGGTCGTGGGAACTCTAAAATATCTACCCAACCAAAAAATCTTCTATATGAACTTTTTGGAGGATTTAAAAAGTTCGTGGATAATAGTATAAAATTTTCCTTAAAACTTCTAAATAACTACAAAAAAATTCTAGAGATTTCTAAAATTTGCAAAAAAATGATACAATTACTTATGAAATCCTGAAATGCTTTAGAATGTTCATAAAGCTGCTAATTATTGTAATTTATTGTTTGTCTACTACAATATGTATATACAACTGACAAAAAACAGCTGCATCACAATTTAAATTTAATATATAATTTTTGTTTTTTCATGTTCAGTTTTCTTTGAAACAATGGGCACTCGTCCAACAATGCTACTATTATGACCATGCCTCTAGAAAACAGGCCAAAAATAGTCATGTAAGCTGTTAGCGCAAGATGCACACACCTTGATTTACAGCTTAAAAAGCAGCAGATACATTTCTGTGCAACGCAACACTCAAATGAAACCATAAATTGGGTCATTTAGATACTCCCTTGCTGGCGTGTACCTGTTCATAAACAAGAGCCCATAGCCCTAAAATTGTGGACTTGTGTGCACATTAATTGTGTCTTGTGTGCTGCTGCATTCATTAAGAGTTTCACTGAGCGTGGCATGACAAGCTCAAGCACAAGCACAGCAAGTGACCTAATCTGCCATCAGAAGTAGTAATTTTTTTGGCTTGGCTGCACTTCAATGCCTCCAAAAAACCACTCTCCTGCTCCACATGTTGATAGACCAAAGCAATCACCACCACAAAGTCTTGCTGTCAACTTCAACTGCCATCCAGAGCTAATGAAACCTCAAAAAGGATATGATAGAAACGCACCATTGTAGACAAAGCACAATGCCTGCAATATCTCTAAGCGGCCTTGAAGAATCACCACATGGTGATGGAAAGGCAGTTATAAACTCAATCTTCATGGAAGGTGCATCACTAGTCTTGTGTTGAATCATCAGGTCTGCTAGTGACTCAGTCTCAACTTGCTGATCTACTGAGTTCTCCACTCCAGTTTCACTTCGTAGGTGGCCAGAGCTTTGAATGGCTGACACATAGAGCGGGTCTGCGTTGAGAGTGTCGAATCGTTGCATTTCAGTGCTTTCCAAATATCTGCATTGCTAGGTTATTTGAATTGCAAATCCTATCTTTTGCTACACCCGCGCATCTACGCCATGAAGCTCATATCTATGTCGAGAACAAGCATTCCAGGTGGTGCACGTGCTGAATGCCGGCATGTGTATTTTGAATACAATCTCTTGTTGGACAGCTGAGAAGAAAAATGTGCAATGCAGCTGTAATGCTTGAACTATCTTTGTCAACATACAGCCCCATAGTTATCACATGTGCTTCTCCACGTAAATACATTCTCTCTAAGTCATGAGATTCGATTGTGCGCTAGGTTATTTCAATCTTGCATGAGTAAGTCACTGAACCCTCATCTCACAAACAACAGCGACCTCTTCTTCTACTAGTTGGCAATCGATGCTGGTTTCCGCTTCCTGTGCGAAAACCGACTTTATTCAAAAATTGACAACGCGTCGAACCCTAAACAAAGCATCGTAGTTTGTCGGACCCTGTTCCTTCAGTGCATCAAATGGAATGCGTGTAGGAGTCCGAAATTACGTCCTCCAAACTTGAAAGAAACTCTCTAAGAGATACTTACGAAAAATTGCCAACTCAAATTGTCACCCATTACTTGTTGTAGCTCTCACGAGGTATCCGACCCTTCCGTAATTGCGTGAGTGTATACTCGGCAGCAGCAATCAATTCTCGAATGTTGTGTATCGACCGCTCCTCCGCTCCCATGTTAAAAATCTCCCTGACATGTTCTTTCTTGGTCTGTTGGGCAGCGAAGCCCAGCCCCAATCGCGTCGAACTCAAGGCTCTCAGGTACTGCCTATACAGCGACAACACCAGCGGCTTGTTCTTCGCCAGGTCTTCGGCCGTTGCCCACAGCAACCCTCTCCCCATGGAGCCCGAGTCTCACTACCTAACCTCAACGCACGAGATTGATCGAAAACAATTCACTGTCTCAACAATTTCATGTACATGAGCACACCCAGAGAATCCAAAATCAATGGACAAGCAGCAATCGACCAACAATACTGTCGACGATTCCTGAGCCCTAAACGACTACTCAATAAATTTTTGCAGTTTCTTCTGCTTCATGGATTAGGGCTCCAAAGACATAGATTGTGTCCAGGGTTTTTGTCACAGAAAGAGAACACACGAAACTTTTCAAGGCTAACTATTCACCTCGTTACATTTGCAACGCTTTTATCTCAAACCATACCTTGAATTCAGGTTTGGCAACGAAACTCAACTTTTCGAAGACAATCATAAGCTATTTAAATGTGAAGCAAAACTTTAATACGACAACCCACTCTAAATGTTGATCCAGAAAACATTAGAAAATGTTGAATTTAGTCTAGTCCTCAATGTATCAAGATACCCACCTTCGGAAACTGTAATAAATGAAGCCGCAAAACCCTAAAAGTTCATGTTCGGTGTATGTGTCAGAACTTCTCGCGTATTGCCGCGGTAACAGGAGGAGACCTCGGGTATCGTTACATTCGTCGCTGCACGGATTTCAATTGGGTTGACCCACGTCTTTGAGCATATCCGCAAATGAATATGTACTTCTAAACTGCAAATAATCGTCGTCGTCTACATGCAATGCTAGAGCTGACGTGTCACTCATATTTCGATGTTACTGTTGCGTTGTCGAACGGAGAGATATAAAGAATCTCCCCATTGTCATTCGTCGTTGTGCTTGGACGCAAGTTGCTTGGGTCCGCTGAGGCTTGCAGGCAGTGGAGCTTCGAAGTCTGAATTTGGGCTGACGGTGAGTAGCAATCGCTGGCGCAAGTGATCGCCTCTTGTGTCGAAGCGTCGTGTTCTTTAGCTTCTGGATTCCTTTTCGTGGTTTATGCATCTGCACGTTGACGTTGAGCGTGATCGCTTAGTACTCTGGGATTATAGAATTTCGCAGCTCAATTTTTGTTTAACAGTTCATCGAGTTGGCTTTTCCTGCAATAGAGTCGCCTTCACTTCTCGCTTTTTCAGTCCAGCTCGAATGCTTTTCTTCAGAGGTACGAAGATTGTTTGAAAGTTCGCACGTAAAGCGTCGAATGGGTTAATAAATACTCTGATTTTGATTTGTTGTTTATCTTTTTGTTTTTATTTTGTTATTTTAGTGAAGGCATTAGAGGACTTTTATGGTTTGTGAATGTAGGCGTTGCTTGAGAAGGTCTGAAGTGCGAGAATTGGGCCTGGTTAGTTAGATCCTGAGTCGTCACTTAATGAAGGGGAAGCTGACTTCGAGCTGGGATTTGGTAAAGCCTGAGATTACATGTGCAAAGAACCTAGTGAATGTAGAATGGATATCCTCCTTGTTTAGTCCTTGACACTTGAAGTGATAGTACTTTGCTGAGAGTTCAAACGGACCTTAGGAATTGGCTATGGTCTTCGATCTATCGACAAATGGTTTTCCAATTGAGTTCATCTTTCATTTGAGTTTTTCTCGATTTTTAGTAAAATCTCTCTTTTTGGAAACTTTACAACTTGAGTTCCCACTCTGCTTCATAACGGACATGCATGTGTATAGAGTTTATCGTGCTCAATTTTCCATTTGCTGGGTTCCTATGTTCAACTTGTACTTGGTTGGGACTTAGATGAGCTGCAGGCTTACAGCGGGTACTATTTTACAGGAGTGCACGTATATAAACAAGTTGTTTTGCGGGTTTAGTATCGGAGCATAAAAACTGAAAGATGCACTCAACCATGACTAATTTGTGACGATGTTGCATCTTTGTGATCAGGAGTGCTGTGATTGCTCTTGTGTAGTTGACCAAGAGAAGGTCAAATCTTAGAGTTGTTTCGAAGATGGCCAATGAGGAGAGTAATCGCGGCTCTCAATATTCGCCTTTTGTGGCCTTAATGTGCGTCTGCTTCGTCTTCTTCTTCTTCTCGCTTTCTTTCTTTGGCATGGTCTTTGGCAGTGTCTTTCAGCTGAGCATCTCGTTGTAGACAACTTTAGTGCATCTGTTCAAAGTCGAGAAGAATAAGAACTCCTGATTTGACGTCGAAGCTCAACTTGAATCGATGGCTTCTGTTTGCAGCTATATCTTCAACTTGATGGTAGGCACTGGCTGTTTGGCTCTTCCATCAGTATTACTGAAAGGAGGTTGGGTACGTTTCTGAGCAATCCTTTCCTCGACGGTTAGTGGTTTCTGTTCACGAAGATACCAATTTGCTTCTGCTAGGCTTTGGCTGCAAGACTTGAAAGCATTAGAATTAAAAACATTTCTTTCCAATGTGATGTGATTTAGATGGATACGAAGACAAGCTCATACCATTTTATGCCCAGATAATAATGTTAACACGAGTCTGCATGTTACGGTGGACATGCTCACAGATTTTGGGTAGCTCCTTTCTTTTCATTGTCGCATTCCTGAGGTACGCAGATTGTCTTATGGTTGATTCTTCCATTTTGCATACTCACGCATACACGAAGTCTGTCGAATTCCTGTGCTCTGCGTGACGATTATACTTCAGCATTAGCCAACATGTTTTTTGATTTTTATTAAGTTCTGTGTCACCATACTCCATGTACAATTTCTACCATTGTCTTAAATCATGTTATCTTTCTGCGCAGCTATGTAAGTGTGACGTTTGTGCTGGAGTCCATGGCCACAGCAAATGCTTTCATCCAACTCAAAAGCAAAGTATGTCTTAACGATATCTACTGACCAACCCTTGGTTGGCGTGACCATTCTCATCTCTCTCAGAAGAAATATATCCACTGTAGATTATAGTTCATTATTAGCTTGAGTAAATACCAAAATTTTAAGAATGTTCCAGATTCTTGAAAGCAGTGCAAAACTCACGCGGAACAGAGCGGCATCCGACTTGTTCAACTTTAATATCCAACTTTTGATTTGGTTTGTGTCACCACTTCTGTCAGGACGGTCTCGATGAATCTCTGTTGAGTGAAGAGGCTGGACATCGAGGGGATGACTTTCCTTCTGAGGAGTCGCAATCTCTGCACACACCCAATGACGAAGGCATATTTCAGATTTCAAGAAAGATAGAGATGGGGGAAATGGCTGTAAGTTAAATGGACACCCTTTGTACTTCTCGAACCACTTCTTGGTCTCATACCCCTTCATGCTTCAGAATAAGATCCACCTTGCGCACACATATCAAGAAAGTCTTCAATAGAGAATGTTAATCGATTTTCGTGATTTGTTATTTTTGAAAAATTAAAAATTGCTTCAATGAATACTGAAGCATGGTGATTTAAATGCAGGGTCTGTTCTTCAACCAATGGGGTATCATTATCTTTTACAGCGCCCTAATCGTAATTGCTCCTTTCTTTGAATCTTATGCACTGTGCGAAAACACTGAGAACCTGTTTTGGATGTATAATCTGCAATACGAAGAAAAGAGCCACATAGGCTTTGAGTTTATTGATGTTCCCGGATGTTGATCGATGGCTTCATTTTTTACAAGAACAAATCTTACATCTTGTGGAATGGTGAATGTGAATGACGCAGTTGTATCTTGTCGGAGATTCGCTCATCTACAGCACATTAGTTGCTCGATCCTTGGCGCAATATTTTGCTAACCTCACCCCAGCTTCATGGGGATTTGGCCTGTTCCTGGGTATCTTCTTTTGTTTCAGTTTACCTCTCTGGTAATTATACAATGTTCTCGGCACGACAAATAGCATCACATTCATTTTCCTCCTCTTTTTTTCTGCTGTGCAATGGCAAGGATGGTTTTGGCGTGACTATGTCTTTTGGATCGCATTGCTGTAATGGAGAGCGTTTTAATTCAAATGTATGGTACTTCTGCTTTGTGGCAGCTATTTCGACTTCCAGAAGACGAAGCTGCTGCAGATAACAACTCTCGTATGAACTCTGATGCCTTTCTGTTGAACTATCAATGTAGATTTGGTTAATAGTGATGTTTTCTGATTTGTTGGCTATTAATATTACTATTTAATAGGTACCTTTAAAGTAGTTAAGAACGAATATTACACACAGCTGTCTCCCAGATGCAACTGAGAATTGGAACCGTTTGCGTCCTGGCAAGTGTTGCACTAACTAATTACCGCATGATAAAGAAGTTATTTCCACTAACACTTGGTTTGGCTAAACAACGTGCAGGCTATTCGAAATATTTCACTTTACACGTATGTCCATCTGCTCCCTTGTGGATAGTTCTCTTTGGCAATGTTATGCGGAGTACAGGCGCTCACAGTCATTAGAATCTGTATATTCTACAGTTCTGAAAGTATGGCGTGTTATCTTGCAGTATGATCATTCTGGCAGCTATAAAAGTCGTGAAGGGAGGCCGCCAGGACTCTGATGTACCAAGTTTCAGCTTGTCGTAAGTCACAACACCATAGTGAGTTCTCCGTTGAAGAAGTGGGTTTATGTGGATAGTCTACATGCCAAATTAAGGAAACTGGTTCTAAACTTACTGTGCTTCATTATATTTCTTTAGCATTTATTAAAAAATATTTCTGGTAAATTTCTTCTTGAAAACTGTAAAATGCATCGTAACCCGATCAAATTGTTTGATTTTAACTCTGTTTGCCTCTTTCACTAGATTGCCAAATTTTCCTTTTTTTTCTTTTTTTCTTTTTTACCATGCCCTGTTACTTGCGATCTTGTACAGCCATACTCATTACATCTAAATCTTTTGGGTCTACAACTCTTACAAGAAATTATTTGCGATTTTTCAGAGCACTGCCAAACTTATTTGGAGGGGCTGTCTATTCGTTCATGTGTCATCACAGGTATCCCGGTCTTTGTTACTTCGCATCGGCGCTAATTTGTGGTGTTTGAGGATATGTAATTAAATTACTTATTCGTCCCACTCGTCGTTAGTGCTGCATTGTAAATCTGAATCTGAGATCGCGTCGGTGAAAAAAGAAAAGAAAAAAGAAAACAGTTCTATCAAAATCAAAGTTTTTGGAATCTGTTTGGATTCTGCATGTGGTGGGATGTCTAGAAACTTGAACTCTGATTTCTAAAGGTTTATCAACAAACGTTTTGTCTCTACCTGGCCTATTAAAGTGGTACTTGGTATTGTCTTCTGTATGTACAGTTTACCTGGTATTGTGACACCCATGCGGAATAAGTCACACTTACAGCGCATTGTGGCAACGTCATACGGCAGTGTGATTGTTGTTTACATACTGCTCTTCATTTCTTGCGGATTTGCTTTTGGTATGTGATGGAATGCCTTTTGGTAGTGAATATCATAATAAGCCGACTGTTTTACATTACATTTTATGTACGTTTCAACTGCATCAAAAAAAAAATGGTTTAGAATATGCACTGCACCAATCCTTAACATATGTATTCGTGATGTAGGAGTTACCGTCAAGGATCCTTTGACGTTCAATTTTCCTGCTGACCGTATCCACCTTGAAGATCCTTGTAGCTTATTTCTATGACTATTGGCCGTTGAACCATTTCATAATGTACTATTACATTCCTTAACTACAAACTGCAGAGTATGGTCTTGTCGGTAGTCTTCTTTTTCTTTTCCCAGGTATGCTCTTTTACGGGATAAAAACTTTCATTTTATTTCCAATTACCTAGATAACCCTTACAAGTATAACTTGAGCTTGACTTTGAGTCTGACCAGATTAATTCCTTTTGAATCAAACACCACTCTTTAGTATGTTTCATTCGAATTCCAATTACTTCTTTTTACCCTGGTATAAATACTGCAAGTGATCAGAGAGTTCTCTACTCATTCGCAATCACATTGTGACCAAACTGACTGTGGAATGACTCTGGAGTGACCAGTGTTTACATTGTCATCTACCTTTCCCATGCTCTCCATCACTTTGCGCAACAACATTGACACCTTAATCCAGTTCGTATCTGACAAAGGTAAACAAGCGGAACACACTGATTTGCAATAAATACATGATTTTAACTATTCTAAGATTGGCAACTGTTGGTCCTCCCCTTGGACGTGAGTTGTACGTTTTAGCTCCAGTTTTCTTCATGCAAATTTCATTTTTGATGCACGGGTTGACAGGTTCACAAAAAGGGGCGTCGTTACCACCACCTGAAACTAGCAGACTTCGTCGAACGATCCTCACTTTGCTTGCTGTTGGGCCACCCACCTTGATGAGCTACATCGCTAAGGTGTGCTTTCATGCCAAGTTTACAGTGACTGAAAATTTTAGTTTCTCATGTTAATCTTCTTAGCTGTGTGGAGAGACTGAATCAAATACCACCAAGTAATTTGTCCACGCATTCCAACATAACTCTTAGAGAGTTTCCTCTAAAATATAGTCGTGCAAAGTACTTTCTATGGTAACATGTGCGAACCACTGGCAGCATGCGAACATTTCTGTGGACAGTTTGGTGGGCTTCACGGGAGCGTTTGCAGGATGCGCAGTCATGCTCATCATCCCTGCTGCCTTCGTGTACTGTTCTAGAAGGTAAGCTTTCTCGCCACCATGGCTTCTTGTTTAAAAGATTTCTTTTCTTTTTCCAAGAATCAGAATAGCGGATTAAAATAAAATTTAAAAAATAAAATTTAAAAAATAAAGTGCTTTCTAGCAGGCATGAATGTAATTTGAAAATTCTTTTGTGTATTACACCAATACAGGGCGTTCACAAAAGCGTGGAATTCAAAGAAGGGATCAAGGATGTCACAGCCCACCAACTTCCACCACTCTCCATTTGCAGGGCAAGGCTGGGTGATTGCAGTGTTGGCATGGGCTTTATTGTCTCTGATCTTCAACACGTATGAGAAGTGGACGAAGTTACCAACAGCATAGGATTTAGTGTTTCGTACGATGCACTCACCGGCCCTGATCTCTCCAGCTCAAGCTACGGTTTAGAATCATCACTGTTGCGTAACTTTTGTCTTGTGGTTTATCTATAAGCTTGATAGTTTGAAGAGAAAGGGAGAGTTTCAATCATATATTCTCGATGGCTTGAAGCAAATGGTCTCGACTTCTGGCTCCATTGCAGGATATTGAGTATTCAACACCAATAGGGGCCAACCACCTTATTTCATGAAACACTTTTTTAAGAGCTCTCTTAATGGCTCATTGCAGGAAGCACTGTTGCACAGGTACGTTAATTAGAATTTCAGAGAATTCTAAAGAATTTCTAGCCTTTGTCGGTTGGGAGTTGTACATTTGATCAAGTATACCTTGGAAATTTAATAGTTCTGACAAGTAGGAACACCTGAAGACTAACCATTCAACGAATATTGCTGCTTGAGAGAACCTATTGATTATCTAGTTCTACACTAATGCTTTCGAAAACCGTTTACATACTTTTCTTTTGCAATTTCAGAATCCACAATCACTCCACTAAGCTGAGTTAGAACCGAGAGGGAAACAGTACTTGTGAAATTGATTAGTAATTTAACAATCTCATTTAGCTCTACTCTTTCCTTTCCAGCTAATAGGATACTGCTCAATCACGAGCTTTCATTTAGCTCTACTCTTTTCTTTCCAGCAAATACGAGCTTTCATTTAGCTCTACTCTTTCCTTTTCAGCATATAGGATACTACTCAATCACAAGCTTTCATAATGTATATCGAATCTACTTGGATAATCATTCAAGATTGCATGTGATTTGTCGCTCAACTATTGAAGATCAACAAGATCTTATATATAGTTGCCACTATATGGAGTTAAACCATAGTAAGTTGTTAATAGTCAAATGATAACAAAGGATTAAAAGAAATTGCTATGGTGGCAGTTAGGGTTTTAGGTGGCAGCTTCGTCAAGAGGAATTTAGGATTTAGTTGGATGTGGCAAGGAAGAATGAGTATGTACATGAAGACTTCAATTATAAGTAAAAAGAATTGGAAGTGAGAGTCATCTTACTCCACACTTCTCTTGGGTGCAACCTTGTTAGTGCTAAGTATTGTAGCTTCTAACTTCTTTTTCTTCAATAAATCATGGATCCACTTACATTTCCTTGTGAGTTTTTTTGAAGTTATATGAAGTCTTTATTGTTTTGTGGAATAGATCATATTATTGTTGCTAAAGTTAGGATTTTGAAATTCTTAACTTTTATATTCAGATCTAGATCTATATCTTTATTTGCTCTTACTTGTTGTTAAATGCATCTTGGATTCAAGGTTTGATTTGTCTCTAATAATAATGTTATAGAATACTAATATTATATTTTGTTATTGAATTAGATCTTTGGTGGACTAACTTTGTAGTTTCATGTATTAAAAGAGCTTAAGGTGCTCAAAAGATCTCCTATGGTGCATAGAGTTGATTTGTAAGCATTAAACTGATAGAAGAGTGAAAAATCTGGTTTGAGATGTTTATATAGTTTATTGGACTTGTAAGAGGTCTTAGAAGTTAAATTAAGAGTGATTTGAGGGTGAAAACACTAGCTTATTTACAAAGAGGGCATTCTGAGATGGTAAGTTAGCAGTATCTTCTTGTTGATTTTGAGAGCATTAGAACTATTTCTCTTGATTTGTTTTTGATAAATCTCTTCTTTAAACATGGCTTCAAGTGAAGGTGAAGGTTTTAGAGCAATTAAAAAATTTAGAGGTGAGAATTTCTACCATTGGAAGGTCAAAATAGAGCTTTTGTTGGCTTTTTTGGACCTATGGGATATTATAGATGAAAGTGAAGAGCCTCTAAGCATGCATGTTGATATAAAGGTGAAGAAAGACTATAAATATCATGAAAAGAAGGCCTTTGGATTGATTGCAACTAATGTTGATGAAGCCAACTTCTCCTATATTATCCCTTATAAAAGACCATTTATAACAAAGCATGAATAGGTAATTTGTATTATTTGTATATAGAGATATGTAGTTGGAGTCATTTTTGAAATTTTTTTAGAATTGAGGTTAGGATAGTGGTTCATGTGAGATCCATCATAGAACCTTCTATGAAGGCTCAAGGTAGTTATTATGGTAGGATCCATTTTTAGAGTCTTTTAGAAGGATAATTATCTTGATGGGACTTACCATTAGAGATATTCTAAAAAGTTCTAAGAATAGTTGAACAAAGTATAAATAGAATTGGCTGAGGCCATTTGAAAGTTTGGTTAGATATGGCTTTAGACTCTTTTTTTTAATAAAGTTTGGTTGATTTTTCTTATTCTATTTTATTTGATTCTATTTGGTTCTATTTTCTTTTATTTAGTCCTATCTTTCATATTCCATTCCATTTAGTTACTTTTAGTTTTGTTATCGTATGCTTGGTCTTACATTGTGTTGAAAACTTTTTGTTATGAAATTTGTAAGGTTTTAGACCTTAGAGAATCTAGTCATGTTTTATTCTTATTAGAGGAAGTATTAGTATGTACTTTGGTAGTGTGTTAATAGCCACCATTTAATTAGAAGTCAATTGTTGTGATCACATTGAATACTATTTTGGAGCTATAATGAGTTACTTTAAGAAGTCAATTGGAAGAAGAAAATGTATTATAATAGTAAAATTTAGCAAGGAAATTGTAGCATGGGAGATATGGCAAAGCAATGCCAAATGGAGACTCAAATACAATACCTCATAGGCCAAATAACTACTCTGCAAGGACAAATAGAAGCTTCTAAGATAAAAAATTGACATCTACTAGGCTAAAATTAAACAAGTCCAATATATATTCAAAGATCTCATGGCAAGAAGATGTATGCCAATGGTTCTTCAGAATGTGACAGTACCTCTAATTATCTTAGACAAATATAAGCAAAGGAATCATATATGCATCTAATTATTTGAAAGGTGTAGCAACCATTTGGTGGCAACATCGAGTTCAAAGCTATTGAGCTCAAGGTGGATTCTATAACTAAGAAGAGTTTGAAACCAAGTTTAGGAGTTAATTTTGACTTTTTAATGCAAAGAAATTAGCACACAATTAATTAGCTAATCTTACACAATCTAAATTAATGTAAAATTAAATCTCCTAATTCAAGTTTTTATATCTCTAAATTAACAACATTTCAAAGATAAAGATGATGGATCGATTTGTACGAGGATTGAAACTTGTGGTCTTATGAGAGGTGGAATTAAGGGATCTTTAAACATTTGAAGAAGCAATTAGGATTGTAAAGAAGGCCAATGCTATAGATTTCAAAAATTATGGAGTACGACCTATAATGCAGGGTGCTATGCCATTAGTCAATACTATGACGGAACAACCAACACCAATGGAGATTGATGCTCTTCAAGGATTATTGACATTAAATAGATGATAAATATTAATGCAAAAAAAAATATACTTTTACTATATATTTTAAATCAAAGACTGTTCAAAATATCAAAGTTCAAGCATCAACAAATTATGGCAAATTTACAATCTTAAGGGATATAAGAAGTGGAGCAAAAAAATGGGGTTCTCCAATAAAAGCATTGAGGGCTAATACTTGGAATAGTTGTTGTTTTTCAAAGACAAATGACATAGCCTCAGACAACTATTAGAAGAATTGACTAGTGTATCTAATGGGTCGACTAAGAAAATAACCATATTAAGTGCTTGTGGATTACGGCTCTACAAAAAATTATATATTGAAAATAATTATCAACCAATTTGGCATTAAAATAAAGGTGATTAAAGGAAGGAATATATACCTAGCAAATAACCAAGAAAACATGTTGAGCCAAACAAGTGAAAAAGAAATTCTGAGACTATGTGATACTTATGTCTTGATCGAGACGTTCAGAATAACAAAGCTTAGATATGATGTTATCCTTAGTATGCCATGCATAGAAGTGGGAAATAAATAAGTCGATTAGCTAGCAAAGACAATCTCTTTTACAGATGGAAGATGCATGGTGACTCTTTGCGCCTTTACATTAAGTGGAATAGCAAAACAATCTGTCACTAAGAGCTTCTTTGTAGAAATGACCTTTATAAAGAAACAAATACAATATAAGCAACAAGTATATGTGGTAGTTTTGAATCTTGCCCCAATGGTGGAAAATACAACCAAAGGAGTAGAAAGAATAGAACAACTTATATATGAATATTGGAATGTCTTTTCAACCAACTTATGTAGTAGTATGCTATCTGATCCAGATACCCTCTTTCAAATAGAACTAGTATCTGGGGCCAAATCGACAAATTAATCAATTTATTGTCTAATATAAAATGAATTTGAAGAATTAAAAAAATCATTGGAAGAATTAGACCTTTAGAGTGGTTATTGGCAGATTCCTATTGCCAAAGAGGATATAAAAAAGATGGCATTTTGTACACACTATAGACATTATGAGTAGCTTACATTATCTTTTAGCCTTATCAATGCTCCAACTTTTTTATGAGTCATATGAATAGATTATTTTGGGAACTTTTATATAAATATGTAATTGTATTCATTAATGATATCCTAGTCTATAATAAAATCCTTGAGGAGCATAAGCAACATCTATGAAAAGTAATGTGCTACCTATGTGATAGTTGCTTCTATTGTAAGCAATCAAAGTGTGAATTTTGGAAGGCAAAGGTCACTTTTTTGGAGCATGTAGTGTCTTTCAAAGGTGTATTTATGGAACAAGATAAGGTGAAAGCAATAGAAAATTGGCTAACTTCCAAGAATGTTTTTGAAGTCTGTTCATTCTTAGGCTTTGCTGAATATTATCATTGTATTGTTTGGCAATTTGCACATATTATTGCCTCATTGACAAGCTTATTAGAAAATGGTGTCTCATTTGAATGGAAATTGGAACAAAAAAAGGCCTTCGAAGAGTTGAAAGAGGCGTTGATTACTACTCCAATATTACAACCATATGATTGCAATCTTCCATGTACACTTGATTTGAATGCTTTTGATTTTGTTATTGGTGTGGTTCTTCAACAAAACTTTGATAGGGCCCTTCAATTTGTGGTGTATGAATGATGCAAATTTAAAAGGACAAAGCACAATTATTCTACTTGTGATGAGGAGCAATTAGCAATTGTACAGCCACAAACGTGTAGCGACACTATTTATTCAAGAAACTAATGACTATTTGCAGTGACCATCAATCCTTGCTAAATGATTTACATTTAAATAATATGAAATCACAACATTATTGTTGGAAGGAGTAATTCCAACTCTTTGATATTCTGCTTGAATATAAGCAAGGGCAATAATACACCATGCTAGATACCTTATCACATAGATTCGACTTATAACTTGAATTATATAACAAGGCAAAAGTCCCTACTATTAGTAATGTCATTTCAAACTTAATGAAAAGAGTGGAATAGAAGGAAGCTATGGACACTTAGGGT